TAAAGTGTGCAGTGTCCTGCCATGGTCGGTCATCAAAGTGTGCAGTGTCCTGCCATTGTCAGCATCAAAGTGTGCAGGGTCCTGCTATTGTCGGTCATCAAAGTTTGCAGTGTCCTGCCATGATCGGTCATTAAAGTGTGCAGTGTCCTGCCATGGTCGGTCATCAAAGTGTGCAGTGTCCTGCCATGGTCGGTCATCAAAGTGTGCAGTGTCCTGCCATGGTGGGTCATTAAAGTGTGCAGTGTCCTGCCATGGTCGGTCATCAAAATGTGCAGTGTCCTGCCATTGACGGTCATCAAAGTGTGCAGTGTTCTGCCATGGTCAGTCATCAAAATGTGCAGTGTCCTGTTATTGTCGGTCATCAAAGTGGATACAAACTTTCTGTAAGGACCTCAGAACATGTTTATAATTATCAAATTATGCATACATGTGCTTAAATTTACAACACATGAATAAATTCTTTTTTTGGGGGGAAAGGGATCATAATTTTAAAATTTACTACTAAAAATTAAATTTCATTTTGCAATGCTATATTCAAACATAAAGTTGAGGGATTAATCTTTTGAATGAGAATGTCACCAATAACTCAGTATCCAAACTAGCATAATAAATACATTTACACTAAAATAAATAAACAAAATATATATAATAAATGTTCACTTTTTATTGCTTATAAAACTTCAAATCATTAAAGTTATATAGTTAACAAAAACACAGTAACAAACATTACAAACACAAAGTGAAGAAAGCAAGACATGCATTAGTAATTTTAATAAAGCAAGTACATATAGTTTCTAATACTGGTTTGACTAAGATTTACTATTACACTTGCACTGTTATAATATTTCCCCCCCCCCCCAGTAATTTAATTTCAATTCATCTCCGCCTGTTGTTTTTAGTAATTTGGAAAAAGCCTCAAAGTAGGACACTTTCATTACTTACTACAAATATACATTTTTATTTGAAAAACAAGATTAAATTTATAATAAATGAAAATGATTTTTATTTCAAGCACATAATTTTTATTTCAAGTACATTTAATAATAAATGTAAATGACTTTTTATTTCAAGTATATGATTTCTATATCAAGTACATTTCAAAATGAATGTAAATGATTTGTATTACAAGTACATGATTTTTTTTATTTCAAGTACATTATTATAATTAATGTAAATGATTTTAATTTAAAGTACATGGCTTTTATTTCAAGCACATGATTTTTTATTTCAAGCATATCATAATAAATGTAAATGATTTGTATATCAAGTACAATATTTTTATGTCAAGGACATACCATAATAAATGTAAATGATTTTTTATATCAAGCACATGATTTTTATTTCAAGTACATTATTATAATAAATGTAAATGATTTTTATTTCAAGTACATGATTTTTATTTTTTCAAGTACATATCATAATAAATGTAAATGATTTTTAATGCAAGTACATCTTTTTTATTTTTTCAAGTACATATAATAAATGTAAATGATTTTTAATGCAAGTACATGATTTTTAGTTCAAATACATATCATAATAAATGTAAATGATTTTTATATCAAGCACATGATTTTTATTTCAAGTACTTTATTATAATAAATGTAAATGATTTTTATTTAAAGCACATGATTTTTATTTCAAGCACATGATTTTTATTTTTTCAAGTACATTTCATAATAAATGTAAATGATTTTTATTTCAAGCACATGATTTTTATTTTTTCAAGTACATATCATAATAAATGTAAATGATTTTTATATCAAGTACATGATTTTTATTTTTTCAAGTTCATATCATAATAAATGTAAATGATTTTTAATCAAGTACATGATTTTTATTTCAAAAACATATCATAATAAATGTAAATGATTTTTATATCAAGCATATGATTTTTATTTCAAATACATATCATAATAAATGTAAATGATTTTTATTTCAAGTACATGATTTTTATTGTTTCAAGTACATATTGTAATAAATGTAAACGATTTTTTTAAAATTCATATCAAAATGAAAGGATCTTTATATCAAGTTCATATCATAATAAATGAAAAAAAAATAAAAAAAAATAAGGAAAATTGATTTTTAATACATATCAGTATTATAATAAATTTTCAATTTTTATTTTTCACTTTATTTACTCAGCGACTTCAGCAATTCTGATGTGTATCTGTCCTTGAAACTGACAAGTTAAAAAAATTTAATTGTAAAATTTAGCCAAGTAACAAAGCCCTAATGTGACAAATCTTGACTTGCTTTAACATTTGGATTATGTTTAAAGGGAGCATACTGTACCTAACAGAGTAATTAAACATGTGCAGTTATCTCCCTTAAGTTCTTTCACTTGCAACAATACAGGTATACACATCAGATTCTCAGTACTAGCAAGCTTTAGGGTAACGCGAGTACCTGCTATATAGTGATGGTTTTGAAAACTTTCGTCCGAAGTACAAAATTGACACATCGCAACTTTTCGAATTACAAAATAACGACAAAAGCCGAGGAATTCTGTTTGAAAACGGATGTGTTGACTGGTCTCCTGCGCACTTCTATGGGAACCATAATAGGACAGGGAACCAGTATAAACAGAAGCAGTGTATAAAATACCGAATGATAGCTTTAAAACGGAAAATGTATAATATAACTGAACGATTATTTTATACTATTTCACGGTTAAAGTAAATCGAGCTCCCTTTGAGGCTTTGCCTTTTTCATATTATTGAAATATGATCAAGTTCACATAATTTCAAATATTTATAGACATGGTAATGGTGAACCATGCTTTCTGCACATAGTCCATAAAAATTGAAGTTTAGATCAAGGCTCTTATATCACTCGCATTGGCAGCATGGGAAATGGTGCAAATGTGTCATAATCTTAAAATTTACCATTGAAGAATGTCATATTCCTGTTTTAGAAATATGTGAAAGCATATGTGATGCTAGGATGTAGACATAAATGCTGATTGGAAATCACAAGACCAGTCAGTAAGACCAGTTGTGTCAAATGCTCACACTCTTCATAATATCAGAGACATAATTTTGAACAATACTGCTTGGTATTTCCTTGCTACGTCTTCTAGACACTTGTCTACTCGACACTGGACCGTGTTTCACCAATAAAGTAATATATGGCAGGCCTCGACACTAACTTTTTTATCAGGTGGTAAGCCGGACCACTAGATTTGAAATTAAGGTGGTCCTTTCAGAAGTCAAGTGGTCAATTATTATTATTATATCATTTTACTGCAAGTTTAGAAAAAGTATGCTTAAAATTGATGACAAAGATGTATTATTAACCTAGAAAACAGACATTTTAGATATATATTTTTATCTTATCATAAATTAAGGAGAGCAAGTTAGTAGCTATTCTGTCGTGAAGTTACTTGTTGTTTTTTTTCATAGCTCATTTAAAAATACACAACAGGGCTCTTATTTATGTTAACTTTTATATTGAAGTGATTTTTCCCTCAACTCAAGTTGGGGAATAGTGAAACCATTTGTGTCTGTTTTTTTTTTCTTACTGTTATTCAAATATTTATTGCTGACACGTGGTACGTCTTATAATCATGATAAATACATGTATCTTTTATAGATTAACATTGCAAATAAAAACTTAATTATCTTAAAAAAGGATAAGAATATAAAAACAACTTTATATATAACTATAGTTTAGCTTATTTTTCTCACAGATTTATCATGAATATAGAATTTTTACCGCCCTGTTGCTTGTTGGTTGATATTTATTTTTTACATTGAGTATTTTTAACCTTTTATTTAAAAAGTAATTTTAACTCTGGAAGAAATGGATCTCTTATCGTTAAACAGTAAAAATAAAGATAACTAGCAAAGAATTACTAGATGTATTTTTTCCAGTTCCTTTAGTTTGCTGCCATTATTCATGTATATGAAATTTAAAGTTCATACAGTATCCCATACAATATCATAATAACCATTGTCTGATACCCACATGTGATTAACATATAACATAACATAAATGTTAAAGGTTCCGCCGTGGTAATCCGGGGATGCATCATTACTAGCATCATTTGAATGCAATTTGTACCTAGCTTAATATCACAAATTCTTAACTCTATTAACTTGCATAGACATAATTTTAGCGACTTAAAATGAAAGTTATTGATGATTTAAGACCTTCTTTAACTAATCAGATTAATCTATTAATGAACCATAATTATACATGTTCATAGGACAAATGGTTTTAAACAAAATGTTTATAACATGTTTTTGACCAAATCGGCATTCTCCCAAATGAGCCTCGCACAAACCAGAAAATTCAAGTGGTCCGACGGACCAGTGCATTTTAAAATTAGGTGATCCTTGCCAAAATTAGGTGGTCTCGGACCAGCAGACCACCGCTAATGTCGAGGCCTGTCATACTTCAGTCTCTCACTTGTTCAGACATGTATGAATCCATTTTTTGAAATTGTTCATTTGACATCATTAGCTATTTCAATTAAGCGATCAATGATTTGCGGAATTTCAGTAGTCCAGTTTTCCTGAGAAATAGGTGGTACATCAGGCACCTTGATCTTACATGTTGTGACACAGTCACCCACAGATAATTAAACGTTGGGTACCCGTTTCCAAATTTCCTACCTATCCATGCCTTAGGACCTTGTATTTGCCAATAACATGTGAATACCTGTCTTATGGATAGAATATCTGATTATTGACTTATTTTGGTATGTTTATCATCATTTTGGTTTGAGATCACAACCCCCCCCCCCCCCCCAAAAAAAAAACAAAACATCTATATTATATTGTACATTCCTGTAATTCTTATTCCATGGCAAGTACCCTGTAATTATAAAATAACAGCTCTGGCAGCCTAAGTCTTAACCCCTTTGAGGCCCTAAAAAGGGGGGGGGGTTTAAAGGCATGAAAATATGTCTATATGAGGTAAAGGGTTAAGAGGCTTTAAAAATTATTGAAATAATTTCTGGCATAAAATGTAAACATTCAATTTTTCATAACTGATTCTTTTTCAATATTTTAATGCATCACATCAATATATTTAAGCCATTATCAAGTATCTAAGTAAAACCACTAACTGATGTATAAGTTCATCTGGCTCTATAATGCTGGCATTTGCTGGAAGATTAAAATCAATTATATGCCAATAAAGGTGTAAATAAATGACTAAAGTATGAATATTTTCAAGTCAAACTTGGCAACAATTTATGCAGATTAATAAATAAAAAGCTGCCTTTGGCTTCAAATATTTTTAAAGTGAATAAGCACAAACATATAACTAAATTCTAAAACATCACTAAGTAATATAATCATTCAGATCTTGAGTCAAAAAGCTGTCATCATTTACGGTCATCATATCTTGAAGTACTCTGATTGGCCCCATGGGGACCTCCAATCACTGGTGCACCTGACTTGGGAGGACAACCAAACATGGCTGGGCTAGACCCCGGCATACCACCAAATGTTGCTGGACTGGACCCTTGCATACCACCAAATGTTGCTGGACTTGACCCCGGCATACCACCAAACATGACTGGGTTCGGCCCTGGTACACCACCAAATGCTTCTGGTCTAGACCCTGGCATGCCACCAAACATGACTGGGTTCGGCCCTGGCACACCACCAAATGCTTCTGGTCTAGACCCTGGCATGCCACCAAACATTGCATGACCTGATCCATGAGGGCTGTTGAATACACCAGGGCCTGGGCCCATAGTGTGCTGACCAAAATCTGCAGGCATCTGTTCTAAATATCTGAAATAAATCATCAGTATTATATTATACAGGGCTGCCAACAGCAAATTGCAAAATCAGAGGAAAATACGCCGGGGGTCAAGGGGGCTGCGCAAGTGCCTTTGCGGGTCCAGGGCAGAGCCCTGGTGGGGGCTTAGGGGCACAGCCCCCTGGAAGCTCCTGGATTCTGATGATTTGGTATGCCCTAAAATCAATTTCCTGGACTCTAAATTTGACTTCCTTGGTTGCCTTTAAAGCCATTCAGAGACACTTTAGTATCCGACATTCTGACGCATTTTGACAACAGACAAGAGCGACAATGTAAACTGTAATTTGATTGGTTATTCTAAAATAGAATGCCGGAATAGACTCGATTTGACCAATGAGAAAAGCGCTTACAGACGTACCATAGGTGGCTAGCGTAACGATAAAAGCCGAAGCGTGCCGGTTTTTGGGTACTGTATAAAATATGACCAATGAATTTATTGTCTTTGTCGAATTTACATCGATCTCAAAAATGACCCAGGAGCTCACGAAATCCGCGGATTTCCGCGAATCCGCGGAAAATCGGCAGCCCTGAATAATATAATATAAATATTTACCACAGTCCTGAGCTAAATGTTTTGAAAAAAAAAAATCTCTTGATTTAAAGGAAATTGTTATAATTTTTGGTGATATAAACTTGAAAAGCAAAGTATCAGCACATGAATTTATATGTTCCAAGTAAAAATGGAAGTTTAACCTTTAAACATACTCATCGTTTCATGTATGACAAAATCCTTTGTCATGTAAATATAGTAGAGTAGACCTTTAAAAATATACTATGCTCATCTTTATATAAACTACTTTTATTGTAGATTTTTATGAAATCTGAATATGTCTTATTTAAAGAAAAGAATGCATAATAGTGTGGCTGTAAACTATGTTTGGAAACCTGCATTCCTTAATACTGGTCAAATTAACTTAGTCTTTCTTAAAAAATGTGCCATTTTTTGATGACATGTATTCATACTGAATATAGTTTGTAGAGTTTAAAACAAGATCTGCTCTCTTCATACTTTTGTCTGCTTTGGGTTTTATGTCACATGGACACAACATAGGGTCATATGGCAACATTCCAGATTTTTTGGTGGAGGAAGACCTCTGGTGCCCTTCCATGCATTATTTCAGGCATGAACAGGCACCCGAGTAGAACCGACGACGCTCTATAAGATAGCTTGATAGCTTCCTCACATAAAAAATCTAAAGTCCCTATCAGGATTTGAATCCACAGTGGTGAGGCCCTATATTACATTTAAGAAAGAGACTGTAAAGCAATTATCAGTATTTTAAAATATCAAATTTGAGCATAATATATCTGGACATTTACACGTAACAGGACCTGATACAGCTTAACTTTAAGCATAATTCCATGCTTTATACTAGAACAATGACAAAATAATAAGACAAAACCTATATATTTGTTCAGGCAACCTTACTTATGAACTTTATGAAAAAATTATTTTGAATACCCATATTTTAATAATTTGATTATGCCAACTCATAAAGAAGCTTACCTCTATCATAATGTTGTTATAATAACAAATGTATGTTTTTTTTTATTTTCTTTTAAAGTTCATTCTGCTTATCATAGTTCAACACTGAGTTTCCTTTTCATTCCCGGCTAAATGTAATTAAGAAGCTTACAATTGTTTATGTGAGTACGTTTGTACAAGAAATGATGTCATACATACATACCTGGGGTTGTATTGTTCTATTCTGCCTCTCAAGATAGAAGGGCCAAGGAACTTGCCGAGCTCGGATATACAATGAGCGGCAGCTGATGAGGTTAAAGCGTTATCACAACTCTGGAATAACATGATACATGTGTATTAAAATAACATGATATAAAATAACATGATGCATCAATAAAATAACATGTTGCATATGTGAAATAACATGGAGCATATATAAAATAACATGTTACATACGTAAAATAACATGTTGCATATGTAAAATAACATAACTTTCAATTTCTAATGAAATCTTAGCATTACGTTTGCTCTAAACATAAATATATTAAAATTTGTAGGGGGCTTCCTGATGATGATATCTTGTTGTCCCGAAAAGGTTTCTTAAGCATGCAGGTATTATGAAAAGAAAAGAGAATGAAAGAAACTAATTGCTTAATATTGATCTTTGTTTTATTGTACCTTTAATCTCTAATGGTGATATTGTGAACCTTCAAAATATACGAGTGACCTTGATCTTTGAAGAAGGGACGTGGTTCCTGGACGCGACAGAATGACATTTGTGCCAAGTTATTTCAAAATCCTTCAATGCATGACAAAGTTACAGTCTGGACATGACTGTTGTGTAAGAGGGGACACACTGACGGACAAAAGAACACGAACCTTAGCCGCGACACATTGTCTTGATGTGGTAAACATTTGTGCCAAGTTATTTTAAAATCCTTCCATGCATGACAAAGTTACTGTCCAGACATGAATGTGTATCTTCAAACTCTATCGAGAGAATGAGTACCTTCAAACTATAAGTGTGACCTTGACCATTTATGTAGGGACATGGGTCTTAGTCACGACATGTCGTCTTGATGTGGTAGACATTTATGCCTGGTTATATTAAAATCATTTGATGCATGACAAAGTTACAGTTGGGACACAATTGTGTGTACCTATAAAATCTAATTGTGATACAGTGAAATTCAAAATGGTAGTGTGACATTGACCTTTGAGGTAGGGACAAGATTTTTGGACCCGACACATCGTTTTGATGTGGTAGACATTTATGCCAAGTTATTCTAAAATCCTTCCATGCATGACAAAGTCACAGTCCGGACACAAATGTGTGTACCTATAAACTCTTATTGTGATAAAGTGAAACTTCAAAATGTTAGTGTGACCTTGACCTTTGACGTAGGGACAAGATTATTGGACGCAACACATTGTCTCTATGTGGTAGACATTTATGCCAAGTTATTCTAAAATCCTTCGATGCATGACAAAAGTTACAGCCCAGACAAGATTGTGTGTACTTATTAATTTTAATTGAGATAATGTGAAACTTCAAAATGTTAGTGTGACCTTGACCTTTGAGGTATGGTCGTAATTCTTGGACGCGACACATCATCTTGTGGTAGACATTTATGCCTAGTTATTTTAAAATCATTTGATGCATGACAAAGTTACAGTCCGGACAAAAATGTGTGTACCTATTTACTCTTACTGCAATAATGTGAAACTTTAAAATGAAAGTGTGACCTTGACCTTTGAGGTAGGGACTTGATTCTTAAAAACGACACACTGTCTTGATGTGGTAGACATTTGTGCCAAGTTATTTCAAAATCCCTCAATATATGACAAAGTTACAGTCTGGACACGAATGAAGTGGGGACGCACAGGCGGACGTTCACACAGGACAGTAATTATGTGGCTACTCTATTGTTCGTTTTAGCCACACAAAAGAAAATAGCCACATAAAAGCATTACAGAATGAATGACATCAAAGAGAAAGAACAGTTACCTATTGTCCCTCTAGCCACATAATTACCTCCCTTGAAGGGCATAAAAAAAGAATGAAATTAATTCATAATTTGATAGCAGTTGTGTATAAACATAAGTGCATAATGAACACCGTACTGAAGTTAACAAATCAATATACTTACAAGACTATAGAATATGGTATCGAAGAAAATTTCCAGATACATTTTGAAGTATCTTTTACCAAGACCCTTTGCTATATGAGGTAACTGAAAAACATAACATATTAACAGTACATAAGAACCTATCAATTCTTTTGTGTAATAATGACTTAATGACAGTGATAAGCCTCTGTCTGCTTGGTTTTAACCACTGGTGTTCAGCGCCTTGATTGGTAAATACCCGCAATTAATTTAAGCCACCCCCATTCCCCGCCCCAGGGCCGCTCTATATCTCCAACATTTCCAAGAACTAAATTGCACTCTTTTTTTTCATGTAATTTTTGTTATTATATATATACATTTGTATATGATTGTGATAAAATTTCTTTCAATTCAAAAAAAAAGAAAAGAAAAAATATATATATATATATTTTTTTACTAAATAATATAAACAACTTACTGTGTCTTGTTTAAAAATATTTTTTTTTTTTTTTTGAATTGAAGAAATGTTATCACAATATCACAATCATATAAATATATAATATTTCAACGCATGTTACAGGAACAAACACTATAGTTTAGATTGTTAGGGAAAGGTTGGGGGTAATAGAGGGGGTTTGGGTGTAGCAACCAATCAACTTGCCGAACACCTGTGGTTTTAACCTTGAACCTGTTTTAACCTAAAACCTGATGCAAATTGAGAGTGATTAGTGTTTGCCACCAGAATAGTAAGGCCAGCTTGTACATTGGTGCAACCTGACCAAGCACCATACTGTTATCCAAATTATTTCAAATTTTCATTTATTAACCCCTAAAATTTATAATGGACTGAGTCAAAAATAAAAGCTGTGACAAGTCCATTTTATAAATTAAGGTGGTTAAAGATAAACAGGTTTTCTACCTGTAGAAGCAGTTACATACCAAGTGTAGAATCTGTGTCAGAATTTTTATTTTATTTTCACAAAAGAAAGCTATTTTTAGCCATGCAATCAAACTGGTTTTTACATAGGCCTTAGAAGAAGTATCAAAATACCGTTATACATGGAAGTTAAACAAATTGTTGATTTTTGCTATAAAAAAAAATGTTGGAAGTAATTTTTAACAAATTACTTGAAAAAATAGAGTCAATTTTTAATGGGCAAGATTGTTTTGCCAGTTTACCTGTCGGCTATATGGACAACGCCATGTTTGTTCTCGAAATCGTGAATATTACCTACTCAGTATTGGTTTTCCCAGGGTTAAAATTAGAAACCACATCGCTTTCAAAATTATGAAAGCTCGCCGATGATTGGCTGTGTGAATAGTCACCAGAAATAATTTCGTATATGGTCACGCTCAGATCTAAAAGCGGAGCGTTATTTAGACCTGATTTTAATCACTATACAGGTGGAAAAGATTTTTAACTTCTTAATGTTTTTGTTAAATATTTATAATCATAAGTAAAAAAAATTTGATTGCTTACCCTTTGGCACACGGTTTCTTTCATATTTGTGTGATGTGTATAATGATCATATGTGACAGCTTTACTGACCAGGGGCAATAACTCTGCAATTTTACTGGCAAACTGCTGTAAACTGGATAACTCGGCTACTATGTGGATACATCTGAAATTTTTCATATTTTCAAAGAATATACATGTATCATACACTAAGATTATTTGTATACGAGCATGTTATGCTTTGAATGGGTTTTATTTTATATTATATTTAATTCTTATTCAAAATAATTTAAAATGCTTGTACAGTATGAAGTCTATCTCTACAGTGGTTTTTTTTCCCATTTAAAATCTCTATATAACTAATATTGTTATTACGGTAGCTGTATTTTTTGCTTAGAAACTTAAAAAATTGCCCATTAAGCTATAGCCATGTAAATTAAGTGAGAATTCATATTAGACTCATGCATACCCATCTGCAAGTTCCCAGGGCTCAGGTTCCTTTCTAAATTTATGATCCATGCATCCCCCACTACTGTTGCCACGCCCCATCTTAGGGGCCAAAGACCCACATGAGTACATCTGTTTATCTGTATGCAACATCATATCATTGTCTCGTAATTTCTTCACCACACCGTATGTTGCTGGTCCTGTATCAAACAAATAAACATGTATTGCTTTTCGTAGTAATGTACAGATAAAAAAAATTGCATAAAAATATACACATTAAGTAAAGTCAGGACTTTAAAGAAACATGCCTCTAGATAAATTTATTTTATAAAATACATGTAGAAATTTTCCTTAAGACAAGCTTATTCCTTAGACGTCAAAGTGTCACATTTTACCATTGACCTTGAGACTTGGTTCAAGTGCCTGGCACTATATCTCGTGATGGTGAACATTTGTATCAAGTAATGCTAAAATCCTTCCATGCATGTAAAAGACATGCTCCGAACAAAACTGGATTCCAGGTGCTCCCATAATACAATACGCTTTTTTGAAACTGGCATATGAACATTGAGACACCAACTGTATAGAGCCTGGTTAGACTGCACAAGCGTGCAAGATGGCCTGGCTCTATACTGCTGGCAAAAGCCTATCACTTTCAGAAACAGTATGTTTACCTTTATCAAGAGAGCTGTATTTTTCTGTGTTCTCCGGCTGTTTCTCAACACCTGCCAAACCTTCCTTCACTTTCTTCAAGATCTCCTCAAAACATTCATCACCTATACAGGACCAAAAATATTCATAATATCAAGTGTAAAGTTTTCAGTAATTTATAAAAACAACAAGAGCCGTCCTTTAGACAATGTGCTTGACTATTCTCAGTGCTCGATACTAAGAAAATGGGACATTACTCTGTAAACTGGTAACTCAGAGTCATAGGACCTGTGCCCATCATGTTAGATAATCAACGAGAACAAGTGTGTACAAGAGAACAAGTTTTAACCCATTTCCTTTATTAGTTTTGGAGATATCAAATTGCACGCAAAATACTTAAGTGTAATGCCAATGCCTTGGTGAGTACAATAGCTCCCCCTGTTCTTGGAAGAGGTGAGCTAATAAAATAGTCTGCAATGCCAATGCATCTTCTCAAAAAACTGACTAACTTTAAAAAGTAACAACAAATTTCAACATCAATCAAACTGTTATTCTACATTTATTTTATTGTTCTTATGGGTAAAAGTCAAACAGTCACTTCAGCAGAGGCCTTTTCTCAATGTCAGCCATTTGATGTAGTTTCAGTGGAAAAATTGGCTACAATATTTTGCTAATGGCTTTTTATAAGTTCTTAGCCTAGAAAACTTTATTAAAGACCTAAAGTTATAATGATTAAGCTATAAGGTATGGAATAAAAGAAAACTGTATATACCATATGCTCGGACAACATTGGAGAGAGCAAGGGCCGCCCCCTGCCGCACTGATGGTATATTATCTTGTAGATTGTTGAAAAACAGTGGATACAATGCTGGTAAAGATGACCTGAAAAATACAGTTTATCTATGTTAGTTTTTAATATTTAGGTTATACATGTAGACATGAGCCGCATCATGACAAAACCAACATAATGGGTTTGCGACCATCATGGATCCAGACCAGCCTGTGCATCCGCGCAGTCTGATCAGGATCCATGCTGTTCGCTATCAGTTTCTCTACTTGTAATAGAGTTGGTAAGCGAACAGCATGGATCCTGATCAGACTGTGGGGATGAGCAGGCTGGTCTGGATCCATGCTGGTCGCAAACCCATTATGTTGGTTTTGTCGTGACACGGCTCATTTCGTCTCATTCCAGCAAGCAGAGGATTCAGTGGAAGATAAAGAAAATGACAGAAATTGTTGGTGTAAAATGTCAGATATTTATTCAGCAAAGATACAAAGTAAAAATTATTACAAAAATTTGGGGGGACAAATAGGATAACTCTTATTGCTCTCAAGCAAATCATCATGTTTGTTATTCTTGCATATTAAATATTAATCATATTTCGGAAAAAAATTACAAAAACTTATATTTTCACGTCACACTTTTTTCTTATAGTGGTGTATGAATTTACAACTTCATTCATAATGGCAAAATGACAGCATTCTAAAAAATGCAACTCATTAAAAAAAAGGCACAAAGGAATGATGTCATTTACAGCACACAACTTGTCTTACATAGAAGGGTGGGGAGATTTACTAGGTTTTCTAGTACTGGTGTAAACAGTTGATAATTCAATTTAATATGCAAGAAACAATAAGATTCCCTCTACTAAAACATACCTTGACTCCTCCGGAAAACAAAGGACAAAGTTCCCACACGCCACACATGCAGCTGCAAAATATATGAACAAATATTTAGCAATTATCACAAAATTTAATAATAAACAACAAGTATAAAAAGAAATATATTTCTCCAGAAAATATTCTTAAAAAGTTCATAGACTACTAAAATCATCACAGGATTTCCTCAACTTTGAAGCTGACACTGTAATCAGTGAACCTTGTCTTATCTACATCATTGCAAAAAGACTAGAGAGATGGCCAGGGACTCATATCCTCTTTCACTCCATGCTGATGAAGAAGCCGTGAAAAAAGGAAGAAAATATTCTTATGGTTTGGTTTAAACATATTTATTTAAACTCGATTGCGATATAAGTTCTTGCAACTTATATCAAATCCCTTTCGAGTCCACTTCCTGGAACCAACCAATACTGGTGTCATATGAAGATACTTGGTTGAGACCCGATTAGGGCTCGAACCCATGATGCCTGGGTTGAGAGGCAGACACCTTAACCACTAGGCCACCGCTCCCCTTAAGTATGTAGTGTATTCTGATAGGAAAAGGTTATTTTTTACAGAAAAAAATTTCATCTGTATTAGAACTGTATTATATACATGTATGTTTGACATTAATTTCATCTTCTTGTCAACACACACATGCTTTTTTTTTATGCTGTGTAACTGTTGTATATGGAAAACTCTTTGCATATATGAGCATAATTATGAATGAACAAATGGAATAAATGGCTGCCATGAACATAAATAGAAAGACAGTCAAGTAGGGAAATCATTTAGTAAATATCAATGCTAGAGTTATGGGTCTTGGCCTTCAACCTACTATCATAAAGAAAAAGAAGTTGTGGAGACAGGCCTTTAATGAAAAGCCTGAACCATGAATTTCCTAAGGAGTTTGAAAAGGGGTATAATTCAGTAAGAAAAAAATTCCTGTCTAGGAAATCATACACATTTATTACCCTAAAACAAGTGTCAAGTTTCATGCAAATACCCATATGAAAATCCTTTGCAAGGACTCTTGATTATTCATAACTAAGGAATGTTTTAGACATTTTACCATCTCTAACTGGCCAGCTGTCATCACTAAAACAGATGAGAAGAGCCTCTAACAACCTTGGAATATACATGTTCACAACATCTTTGTTCACCTATAAATAGAAATATATAATTGAGCCGCGCCATGATGATGACAAAACCAACATAGTGCGTTTGCAACCAGCATCTGCGCAGTCTGATCAGGATCCTTGCTGTTCGCTTACAAACCATATTACAAGAAGAGAAACTAATAGCGAACAATACATGTATGGATCCTGATCAGACTGCCCGAATGCGCAAGCTGGTCTGGATCCATGCTGATCGCAAACCCATTATGTTGGTTTTGTCATGGCATGGCTCAAATACACATGTATACATTTTTCAACATAACATGAAAGTTAATTTAAAAAAAATAATTTCAATGCAGCAATGATAATGATCGTTATCATATGTTTGTAGTTAATCTAAGTAGTCATTTCACAACAAATGTTAAATCATCAATCCTGCATATATGCAACACATATATCACATTTCGATGTGTCTAGCCAGTCTTGTTAGCTTTAAGTTGCCAGAATGCACAGATAAGCTAACAGGGAATTTCTTTTCTAACTATGGATGACAAAAAGTACCCATTTCAGTACTCAAGTACTTGTTTACTTTTACGCTGGAGTACTCAATCACATTTAAATATTTCTAATAGCTGTAAGAGTTTATAACCATAATCTATGTTCATTTTTTTTCAAATTCTAAATAAGGTCATAGACAGATAATTATACTAACAAGAGCTGTCGGTAGGACAGCACGCTCGACTATTCTAAGTGCTTGATAGTATGACCCTCCAATTATGACCCTAAGTGCATGTGTAAAGTTTCAAGTAAATATCTTTGAAGACCTTTAACCAAAATTTCTAAGTTTCAAAGGGGCAAATAATTCTGCAAATATTGCAGGCAGAGTTATGCAATTTTGCAAACTGATGTACATTGTTACTATAAAAAGTATTTTAAATTTCAATTGAATATCTCAAGCAATAATTGAGATATTTGACTTTACAAAAAAACTTTAACCAAAAGTTCTAAGTTCCAAAGGGGCATAATTATTTCAATATTGTAGGCAGAGTTATCCAACTTGTCAATCTGATGTACCTTGTTACTATAAATAAGTATTGTAAGTTTCAATTGAATATCTCAAGCAATAATTGAGATATTTGACTTTACAAAAAACTTTAACCAAAAGTTCTAAGTTAAAAAGGGGCATAATTCTGTCAATATTGTGGGCAGAGTTATCCAACTTGTCAATCTGATGTACCTTGTTACTATAAATAAGTATTGTAAGTTTCAATTGAATATCTCAAGCAATAATTGAGATCTTTGACTTTACAAAAAACTTTAACCAAAATTTCTAAGTTAAAAAGGGGCATAATTCTGTCAATATTGTAAGCAGAGTTATCCAACTTGTCAATCTGATGTACCTTGTTACTATAAATAAGTATTGTAAGTTTCAATTGAATATCTCAAGTAATAATTGAGATATTTGACTTTACAAAAAACTTTAACCAACGCAGACACCGACGCGGACGCTGACGCCGACGCCGGGGCGACTACAATAGCTCTCATATTCTTCGAATAGTCGAGCTAATAACAACCATGTCTGCAGTAAACTTTTGTTTACTATTTTGATACATAGACTAACGAACTACTGTAAATACAAGGGAGGTAAATGTTCCTTGAAAATAAAGAAAATAATGTTGATTTGGGTCTATTTAAATGAACTCCACTGAGGTCCAAAAGCCTAAAAACAAGAAATTTCCAAATCTTACTTAATAAGTTCAGCTGGAACACTTTATTGAAAAAGATAAGTGTTATAAAGAAAGTTAATCGGAGAGTAATATTTACTTTAGCTCCAAGTTCTGCGATACACGCACAGGCAGCTTCTCTCACAGCGTGGTTGTCTGCCCCTGTCGCTTCTATATAGTAGTCAACCTATACAGTTAAAGTAAATTATATGTATCAATTGGTGTAAAACTGATTGACACATGCACAGATGGTCAGATATGCTCTTAGATAGGCAGTGTAAATAATCCATTTTAATTAAAGTCAACAATATCAGAAATCATGAAAACTCTAAATTTAGCATTTTTTATCAATTCTATTTTGAATAAGAGGACTTTTAGGAGTAATAAAACTCTGAACTTCAGAATCATGAAAATTTTACCCATGCATTGTGTTACTAAATGCAAAAATAAAGTAACAGTGGCCTGTTAAACAGCAAGCAGATTGAGAGTCACTTACCACTTGTCCAATGTACATCTCTACGAGTTGTTTCCCCTGTTCTCCAGTCACTTGTTTCCACGTGTCCTGTGAGTAGATACGGACGCCTTCAGCCACATAATATCTGTAACAAATACATATTTAAGATCATATCATTTAAGGTAGTCGTACTGTAGTGCTTTCCCGCTTATAAAAATCTAATTAGGCCAATATCGTAAACAAGAGGACCATGATGGCCCTGAAGTCGCTCACCTGTATATAGGCCCCTGGAGCGGGGCCAGTTTAAACCCCAGGGCTTTTATTTGAACAAACTTGGTAGACACCCATTAGAAGATGTTTCATGCTAAACATCTAAGGTCTAGCTCGTTGGGTTTTTTAAAAGAAGATTTTTCAAGTTTTTTCTTTACACATATAGATAAAAACAATGACACACCTAGGGCAGGGCCAGTTTTGACCCCAGGGCTTTTATTTGAACAATCTTTGTAGACACTTACTAGAAAATGTTTCATGCTTAATATCTAAACTCTAGCTATTCGGGTTTTTTCAAAGAAGATTTTTAAGTTTTTGCTATTCACATATAAGGAAAATTAATGTCCCCGGGACGGGGCCAATTTTGACCTCAGGGCTTTTATTTGAACAAACTTGGTAGACATTCACTAGAAGATGCTTCGTGCTTAATATCTAAACTCTAGCTATTTGAGTTTTTTCAAAGAAGATTTTTTTAAGTTTTTGTTATACACATATAAGGAAAATGAATGACCCCCGGGGCGGGGCCAATTTTGACCCCAGGGCTTTTATTTGAACAAACTTGGTAGACACTCACTAGAAGATGTTTCATGCATAGTATCTAAACCCTAGCTATTTGGTTTTTTTTTTCAAAAAAGTTTTTTAAGTTTTTGCTATATATACACATATAAGGAAAATTAATGACCCCCGGGGCGGGGACAATTTTGACCCCAGGGCTCATATTTGAACAAACTTGGTAGACATCCATTAGAACATGTTTCATGCTTAATATCTTAGCTCTAGCTCTTTCGGTTCTTTAAAAGAAGATTTTTTAAGTTTTTACTATATGCATATAGGGAAAATCAATGACCCCCTGGGGCGGGGCCAATTTTGACCCCAGGGCTTTTATTTGAACAAACTTGGTAGACACCCATTAGAAGATGTTTCATGCTAAATATTTAAGCTCTAGCTCTTTGGGTTCTGTAAAAGAAGATTTTTTAAGTTTTTACTATATGCATATAGAGAAAATCAATGACCCCCTGGGGCGGGGCCAATTTTGACCCCAGGGCTTTTATTTGAACAAACTTGGTAGACACTCACTAGAAGATGTTTCATGCCAAATATCTTAGCTCCAGCTCTTTGGGTTCTTTAAAGGACGATTTTTTAAGTTTTTACTATATGCATATAGGGAAAATCAATGACCCCCTGGGGCGGGGCCAATTTTGACCCCAGGGCTTTTATTTGAACAAACTTGGTAGACACTCACTAGAAGATGTTTCATACCAAATATCTAAGCTCTAGCTCTTTGGTTTTTTTAAAAGAAGATATTTAAAGTTTTTTCTTTCGGTTGCCATGGCAACCAGAGTTCTGCATGGAATTAAATTCTTTGAACAATTTTTAAAGGTGACCACCAAAGGAACATTCCTGTGAAGTTTGGATGAAATTGGCTTAGTGGTTTATGAGGAGATGTCATTTAAAGCAAAAGTTTACGGACGGACGATGGACAGACGGACGAAAAGCGATCACAAAAGCTCACCCTGTCACTTTGTGACAGGTGAGCTAAAAAACGTCATTTCCGGGATGTTATTTTTCACAATCTTCCGTACTCAATGATTTTTAACTGTTTATAAATGGAGATAAAAGAATAGTGATCGTAAATGACCTAATGCCCAAGATTTTGAAAAAAAAAAAAATAACGTTCCGGAAATAACTGATTTGCTATGATATTGGTCGATGATAGAATTAACATTTTTGGCGGGAAAGCATTACATTGCCCGTATATAAACGGTTGTTTGCAATATAACCCTTGCCAAATGGCTCGGGTTATATTTACAAACAACCTTTTATATAGAGCCATATAACCTGTCAAAAATCTGTATAACTAATTATATAACCTGTCACAAATCTTTATAACGAATTTATAATACTGCAAATTTCCCTTTTTAGAGAAAAAAGCGAGATTTCTTTATAAATTAACAGCAGCAGTGTATATCATCATGATTATCCAATGAAAAGCGAGGTTACAAAGGTGCAGTACTATAAAGCAGTATCATCAGAGAAATTGCACATGGACATTCAATTTATTTTCATAATTTATTTTCACACAATACAAATAGAAATCACCAAATACCTATTAAGACACATCCTAGGTAACAGAAGGGGGAAGAACTGGTGCCTGGCTTGATCTGACGGTAAACTCTGAAGGAACTTCCTCGTTGCCACAGATGACGCAAGTCTAACCTACAGTAGTAATGAAAAAAAAACAACTACATTATATTGCCAAATGAAGTGTTACCCTTTTCCTGATAGTTTGTCACAGGGACTTGTACTCCTTGGAAATTGGAACTATCTAGTACCAGTGTCTATTCTAGGATTCCCTAAACAAAAACAGGGGGGGGGGGGGGGGGGGGGTCAAAAAATGAGAATTTATAACATTTGTTGATTTTTTCCTTCTTTCTCTATGTAAAATTTCCCCCCTGCCTCTGAAAACAAGAGGGCCATGATGGCCCTGAGGTCGCTCACCTGTATATAGGCCCCCCACCCCCGGGCCAATTTTTACCCAAGGGCTTTTATTTGTTTATTTGAACAGACTTGGTAGACACCCATAAGAAGATGTTTCATGCTAAACATCTAAGTTCTAGCTCATTGGCATTTTTAAAAGAAGATTTTTAAAGTTTTTACTATACACATATAGTTAAAAACAATGTCACCCCTGGGGCAGGGCCAGTTTTGACCCCCGGGCGTTTATTTTAACAAACTTTGTAGATATTTACTTAAAGATGTTTCATGCTTAATATCTAAACTCTAGCTATTTGGGTTTTTCCAAAGAAGATTTTTAAGTTTTTGCTATACACATATAAGGAAAATCAATGACCCCCCCCCCAACCCGGGCGGGGCCAGTTTTGACCCCAGGGCTTTTATTTGAACATACTTGGTAGACACCCATTAGAACATGTTTCATGCTAAATATCTTAGCTCTAGCTCTTTGAGTTCTTTAAAAGAAGATTTTTTAAGTTTTTACTATATGCATATAGGGAAAATCAATGACCCCCTGGGGCGGGCCAATTTTGACCCCAGAGCTTTTATTTGAACAAACTTGGTAGACACTCATTAGAAGATGTTTCATGCTAAATATCTTAGCTCTAGCTCTTTGAGTTCTTTAAAAGAGAATTTTTTAAGTTTTTACTCTATGCATATAGGGAAAATCTATGACCCCCTGGGGCAGGGTCAATTTTGACCCCAGGGCTTTTATTTGAACAAACTTGGTAGACATTCACTAGAAGATGTTTCATGCCAAATATCTAAGCTCTAGCTCTTATGGTTCTTTAAAAGAAGATTTTTTAAGTTTTTACCATATGCATATAGGGAAAATCAATGACCCCCGGGGCGGGGCCAATTTTGACCCCAGGGCTTTAATTTGAACAAACTTGGTAGACACTCACTAGAAGATGTTTCATGCTTAATATCTCAGCTCTAGCTCTTTGGGTTCTTTAAAAGAATTTTTTTTAAGTTTTTACTATATGCATATAGGGAAAATCTATGACCCCCTGGGGCGGGGTCAATTTTGACCCCAGGGCTTTTATTTGAACAAACTTGGTAGACATTCACTAGAAGATGTTTCATGCCAAATATCTAAGCTCTAGCTCTTATGGTTCTTTAAAAGAAGATTTTTAAAGTTTTTACTATATGCATATAGGGAAAATCAATGACCCCTGGGGCGGGGCCAATTTTGACCCCCAGGGCTTTAATTTGAACAAACTTGGTAGACACTCACTAGAAGATGTTTCATGCTTAATATCTTAGCTCTAGCTCTTTGGGTTCTTTAAAAGAAGATTTTTTAAGTTTTTACTATAAGCATAAAGGGAAAATCAATGACCCCCTAGGTCGGGGCCAATTTTGACCCCAGGGCTTTTATTTGAACAAACTTGGTAGACATTCACTAGAAGATGTTTCATGCCAAATATCTAAGCTCTAGCTCTTTGGGTTCTTTAAAAGAAGATTTTTTAAGTTTTTACTTTATGCATATAGGGAAAATCAATGCCCCCCTGGGGCGGGGCCAATTTTGACCCCAGGGCTTTTATTTGAACAAACTTGGTAGACACTCACTAGAAGATGTTTCATGCCAAATATCTAAGCTCTAGCTCTTATGGTTTTTTAAAAGAAGATATTTAAAGTTTTTTCTTTTGGTTGCCATGGCAACCAGAGTTCTGCATGGAATTAAATTCTTTGAACAATTTTTAAAGGTGACCACCAAAGGAACATTCCTGTGAAGTTTGGATGAAATTGGCTCAGTGGTTTATGAGGAGATGTCATTTAAAGCAAAAGTTTACGGACGGACGGACGACGGACGGACGACGGACGGACGACGGACGGACGGACGGACGGACGGACGCCGGACGAAAAGCGATCACAAAAGCTCACCCTGTCACTTTGTGACAGGTGAGCTAAAAAGAGGGGAATTCTCAAAAATATGAGTGAATCCCCCTCCTAGAATAGACACGGAGTACACCATAATTACTTATCCTGTCATGCAGGAATGTGAAAATAGAGCAGAAGACGTGCAATTGTACAGCTAAATTGTGCAAATACATGTATGAAACGAGCCACATGGCAAGGTAACATCCCATATACTTTATAGTAAGATTTCAACTTTACTTTTACACTATTCCTGCTGTATTCACATATTACTACATTACGGGATATACACAGAGTGGTGTAACATTAAAGACCTAGATATCACAGTAATGAAATTGAGCATCTAACAGTATGGACTTTAATCATACTACAGTAATGTACAGACTTGTGCTGACCGCGTATTCTAACCAGGTTACTGTCAGCACATTAAGCATCAACATGCGTCACATCCTTTCACCTGTTCTTAATACTGCACAAGATGCTTCAATATACTTTGTTGTGGCGGAAAATTTGTAGGCCGCTGACAATCGAATGGTGCAACTCTATTTTTTAGAAATAATTTAAAGAATTAATATGTTTTAAATATTAAACTAAGGTATGGATTTACTCTCTTCAGAATATGGCTGACATTATTGTTCAGAAAACCAATTTTGGAGGGACAATATCCTATAATTTCTTTTATTTTTAATTAGCATGCTTTAAGTCTGCTCGGAACAGGTGGGCTTATTGCGGAGATATATAATAGTTTCTTTAGTATTTATCAATTTAAGTAGCATATTTTTAATTTTTGATATTATGGAAATGGAATATCATGGAATGGAAAATATCTGATATTAGGAAAATGGATTTTGGATATCATGGAAATGGATTTTTGGATATCATGGAAATGGAATTTTTATTATCTATTACTGGAATATTTGGACTGAAACTGAAAGTCATAATAAATACCATATTTTTAAATTTTTAAAGGTGGCACCATTCGATTGTCAGCGTAGGGTATCAAATTCCATATGGCACTTGTTGATTACCAGTGGAATTAATATTTGGTTTATCAGTGCGGTCAAATAATGCCATTCCTATAAATGTTTAATTTTGACTTGATATGGATTATAGAGTACAAGATATAATGGATGAATAAAATGCATCAAAAGTTAAGGTTTTTTGTTTTAATTGTTTTGTATTAATTCAGTCTTAAAATAATGAACATGAAGAGTTTTTTCTCTGATCAAGAGACTGGAAAACGTATCTTCATAATGAATTCTGGGAAAAAGTATTTTCAAAATGAATTCTGGTATATTTGTACATAGCTCATAGACAAAATCCTTTTTTTGCTATTGCAATAAGTCAAAAAATATAAACTTAGCAGACGCTATTCTTTCAATGTTTCTCTTTCAAAGGTCATTATTTGTGATGAATTAATTCAGAAAGTATGTTGCAATGTGCATATATAGATAGCATACCTGGCTCCAATTATCGGATAGTCCTCTACCAAGATAATCTGCAAACTGATGTCCATACCTCAATATAGCATTATCATCATCCAGCAGGGCCGAGTCTGAACCTGTCCAACAAACAAGATAACATTATATGATAAAAACAGTTATATCACTTTGGTTCCAAGATATTTTACTTATTGATATAGAGTTTTATATTTCAATACTAGCTGCAGTTACAATAATTTGCTTATGCTATTAGAATAATCAAATTCAGCCTTATCAACCAAGAGATAAATAAAATAATCAGTGATAATGTGACATAAATGCAAAACTCTTATGAAACATATTGTGTCTCTGGGTACTTTCACAGAAGTTTAGGTCGCTGACTTCAAACCACTTGCCCCTCTCCACTGTGGGTTAAAATCCCAAGAGGGACTTTGTATTCTGTCATTTGAGGAAGCTATCCAGCTAGCTTACAGAACATCAGTGGTTTTACTCAGGTGTCAGTTTGTGCCTGAAATAATGCACAGAAGGGCACCTGAGGTCTTCCTCCACCAGTAAAGCTGGAACATCGCCATATGACCTATACTGTGTCAGTGTGATGTAAAACCCAATCAAACAAACTTCCATACAGTATCACATCAATTATATCTCGTAAGTTATATATCTACAACTGAAAAAATAAATAAAAATCACAATTGTAAGTTTGATTCAAAAAGCACATCTCTTGTAGACCATTTAAAAGCTTAATGAAGCTAATGTTGGAATAGCTGATAAAATGATTGTTTCTTATTAAAAATTTTGTGGGTTTGAGCCCTGCTTGGGTTACATCAATGTTTTATTATAAAATACAGATACTGGTAAGTTCCAGGAAATGTACTTTAATGTGGTTACTTTATCCTTTCATCATAAATCAAGCAAAATTATCTTCAATCTTTCATCATAAGTTAAGCTAAATTATCTTCAATCTTTCATCATAAGTTAAGCTAAATTATCTTCAATCTTTCATCATAAATCAAGCTAAATTATCTTCAATCTTTCATCATAAGTTAAGCTAAATTATCTTCAATCTTTCATCATAAATCAAGCTAAATCATCTTCAATCTTTCATCATAAGTTAAGCTAAATTATCTTCAATCTTTCATCATAAGTTAAGCTAAATTATCTTCAATCTATCATCATAAGTTAAGCTAAATTATCTTCAATCTTTCATCATAAATCAAGCTAAATTATCTTCAATCTTTCATCATAAGTTAAGCTAAATTATCTTCAACCTTTCATCATAAATCAAGCTAAAATATCTTTAATCTTTTATCATAAATCAACTGAAAATATCTTCAATCTTTCATCATACATTAAGCTAAGATATAAAGGTTTAAACCATGCCCTGCAAGAACAGAAAATGGTAAGCCTTTGCCACCTTGCAGTCTGACCAGGTTTTATTGAGTGACTCAACTTCAAACCGTTCATTCTGATATCCCTAAAATTGATAATGTACAGTTCCAAAATTGACAAGTCCATTTTAAAGGTTCAGCAGGTAAACCGTTAACCTGCTAGAACCGGAAGTAAATGGCATTTGCCAGCAGTGTAGAGCCAGGTCAGCCTGCATTGATCATTTTTTACATGTTTATAATACTGCACGTTTGTAACGTCATTTTTCATTGGATAATCATGACGTTTATAATTTTATATACAAGGCTGCTGTCGATTAATGAAGAAATCTTACTTTTTTCTTTAAAAATGATGCTTGCTGTGTAATAAATTTGTTATAAAGATTGTTGACAGGTAATATGGCCGTATATAAACGGCTGTTTGCAATATAACCCTCGCCTAATGGCTTGGGTTATATTTACAAACAGCTGTTTATATAGGGCCATATAACCTGTCAACAATCTTTATAACTAATGATATACTAGTACTCTTGTCTATTGGTAGCTCAATTTTTGTTTTTTGATACTGTATTCCCTTTAACTTTGAATGAACTGTTCCAAAATCAAAGCTGGGCAAATCCATTAAACAAAATCAGTCATTGAATTTAAGATTTTGAATTTACTGGCCCGAATTCCAGTTTTGAATTTATTCTATTATATAATTCACTAATTTTCTAAAAATTTACACTGGCCCGAACAAATTTTCACTGGCCATGGGCCACTGGGCCAGTGCTTAATTCAATGACTGCAAAATTATTCAGCAAATTGATAGTTAAATGAAGGGAATAAAACAAATAATTTACCATCTTGTACTACTCCACACATTACCAAGCTTGCACACACATAATACCCAGTTTCTCGAACAAATCTGTTAGTGTGAGTCAGGGCTCTAAATATTAGATCTAACAGCTCCTGGTCAACAAACGGATTAAAATTATGTCCTAATCCTTCAATAATACTCTGTAAACATCTGAAATATGAAAAAAAACATGTATTATAAAAAATACATGACAACTTTTCATAGAGGAATATGTGACATACATTGTATATGTTGTCTAACCACCCTAGATATTCAGGATTCTACAATAGTGGCTGTTTAGTTTTTTTTACTTCTTATACCGAAACCAATAAATACCACAAAAGACAGATCAAATTCAAAGCAAGGCTTGTCCAACATTAATAGTATGTATGTATTCATAAATGAATAAGAAATGAGTCCATAGTACATGGATACCCCATAATCCTCTGTTTTGTCAGTCTGTGGACAGACAATGTGACTGATGGACAGACAAGGGCTTTTTATGCCCCCAACAGTCCAGTAATATATTTCAATCAATGACTTTCCTTAAAATATTCACATATAATAATATATTAAATATAATCACTATAATTGCAGAATTTCATGTATTCTTTTGTTTTAATTTGACAAACAATTTTTTTAATGATATATTACTTCATCCAAGTTTCTAATGACTTCCATCCAGCAGTGTCATGGAAAATCTGAGCGGCCTCTGTACTGTGCCTCTATAGAAAAAAAAGAAAGCTGGAATTATAGAATATTCTAGATAATTATAATCAAATTAAAGATATGATACATAATTTAGTAAATCATCATCATGTACAAATATATCATAATTATAACAATATCTCTACATGTACAATATAATTTATAATACATGTAAGTTTGTCTCTGAACTTCGCCTGATGGGGGCAAATAAATCGATCCATGAGACCAGTGTAGACCAAAGTCAGCCAGCACATCTGTGCCTTCTGATCATGGTCATCACAGTCAATACTTATTATAAAATCTACCTTAAAATAATAAATGGTATTGTCCAGAATGAAAGATGGACAAGTCCATTTAACATATTCAGGGTTAAAAACTCTAACAAGAACTAAGTCAATGAGATACAAAACTACATAAAAAAACTTATCAAAGTTTTACAGGGCTTCCATTAAGTTCAAAATTTGGAAGTCAAGAGACTGCAAACTCTCCAACATTGGAAGTCACATTATATAGGTATAGAAGGAAAACCATGACATTTTTGAAGTCAGACATCAAAATCAAGGAGAAAATGACTCCCAAATTCCATGAATGGAAGCCCTGGTTTTATGGTTATAGAGTAAGACAGTAGAACTATTGGCAAAACAGTGCAGTTACACTGTAAAATCATAATAATTATGCTATATTTTAATTTTTTAGACCACCTGCATTTTTCCATATTGAACATAGAAGAACAGAAGAACCGAAAGTGTGTGTTATTATGCAATAAAATCACTTACCTATATTTAGACATGTAAGGTAATCATTATACATGTGATGTAACGACGAAAAATAAGGCGCGCTGAAATAAGTACAGAAACAAATCAGGGGCAGTTTAGCTTTATATCATTCATTTGTTGATGTCATTTTAGAATCAAAATAATATATCCAAATCAGTGATTTTATGCCAGGAATCCGATATCCAAACGGTAATTTTATTGAGCAATAAAATCACTGTTTGGGATATATATTTTCTTAAGTAGTTTTTCACCTTTTCACCTCTAGGTGAACTTGACAGTTTCTCCATAAGTCTTTCTGTCTCCTCTTGTTCTGATATACAGCTATCTGTCAATGGATCACGCTCTAAATTTGTAGAAATACCATCTAAAACATCAGTACAGCATTGCTGGTATACACTGGCTCCTATTCTTCTACAAAGAGCTCCCAAAACTTCACCTGTCCGTTGAAAAATTAAAACAATAACAAATGTATCATAAAAAAAAATTCATGTGACTATTTGTAATTTCTGACTTATTTGCGAATTACTCCGCTAATATTGCTACTGCATGTATGTAATTCTGTTAAAGGTCCATTATAATATGCCTCAGAAATGCTTTTATTTCTTAAAAGCTTTTAAAATTCAATGGTGTACTTTTTTAGTATCCAGTAAGTTACTCATTGGCCAATTTTTCATCTGTTGCTTTTTGGCAATAAGTACAGTTATACAATGTAGTGAATTAGTATTTTGTATGGAAGTCAAAATGATATTTTGTTTACATTTTGCTACTAACTTTTATGACAAATATAATCACATTTACTGCTTCTTTCTTCCGGCTAAAACCATTATTAAAACATTATAAAATATATGTTTTCCCTTTCTTAAAAAGTAAAAAATTCTTTCTTTCTCAGGCATAATGTGCCTTAAAGAATTCTTGCATGCAAATAAAATGTAAAACAAATTTACAAAATAAAAACTAAGATAACAAGAGCCAGGTTTGAGCCGGGTGATGCTCCCTGAATAGGTTTTGGACACAGGAAAGTACACCTCTTGTAGTTTCAGAGTTATGTCCCTGGAAAGAGTTCAAAGTGCAATAATTCCAAAATTAGGAAGGCAGAGTTACTGTTCTTTGCACTGTACTTCTAATCAATGTGATCTATCAACCTACAAAGTTTCTTGTTGATTATAGATATCTCTTACGGTTTCCGAGTTATGTCCCAGACAACTTCAAAAAGTAAAAATAAACAAAGGGCAATAACTCCAGAATTAGGCAAGGCAGAGTTATGATTCTTGCGCATTGCATATCTACCCATTGAGATATATCTACCTACAAAGTTTCATGTTGATATCTCTTATAGTTTTACAGCTATGTCCTGGACAAGATTTTTCTAAAAGGGGAGACAACTCAAAAATGGGGCTTAAGAGAGTTATGGTTCTTTTGCACTGCACTTCTACTCAATCAGATCTATCTACCTAAAATGTTTCATCTTGACATCTCTTATAGTTTTAGAGTTATGTTCCGGACAAAGTTCAAAGTGTTAAAATTAACAAAGGGCAATAACTCCAAAATTAGGACAAAAAGAGTTATTGTTCTTATGCACTGCACATCTACCCATTCAGATCTATTCACCTACAAAGTTTCATGTTGATATCTCTTATAGTTTTAGAGTTATGTCCCGGACAAGATTTTTCTATAAGGGGAGATCATTAAAAAAACACGCAAAATAGAGTTATGGTTCTTTGACACTGCACTCCCCCTCAATGCCCTCTACCACTGTATGAAGTTTAAACAAATTATCTCCAAGGGTTTTCAAGTTATGCTCTGGACAAGACAACGGACGGACAGACGGACAAGGCACCGACTATATGCTCCCCCGAAATTTTTCGGGGAGCATAATAACGTAAGATGCATGTAATTACTTTATAAGTTTTTTCATTATGACCTTTCTAAAAGATAGATAAATAGAAATAGGGTTTCTTAAAGGAGCTCCACTGAGGTGAAAACACATCAAATTTGTTGTTTTTTTTACATTGATCAAGTGAATCACTTAGAATGGAAAATTCTGCAAATGATCATCAAAGAAATCTACTCAAAATTCAATTGAAAATGGGAAGTTAGTGCAATTCTAAGCCAAATTTAAGTGAAACGTTGCTTAAGCATTGCAATGCATTTCATTTGCACAATAAAAATTATTATTCTGGAAAAACAGTATGAGGAAATGATCTGAAAATTTGCACACAAACATAATACAGACCTACATCAAATGATAAACAAAAAATCTTAGAAAATATAATTCCAATCCAATCATGTCAAAAAACCTCATTGGAGCCCCTTTTAATTTGATTTATCTTTTTTGTTACATAAAAGTGTTGCATTCTTGTAAATTCTGTCATACAGCTTGCTTTGATGCTTTGCCTTATTCAACTTATAATCCAGGTTATTCATCAAATTATTGGTCAAATCACTAAAGGTAAGTGGTTTATTAAAAAAACTAAGCTATTTTTCAGTTTTTGCACTGCAAAAAAAATAAATATTTGTAAATGATTTGTTAACAAGTTTCAGGATATAAATTAATTCTTTATTAGAGAAAGTAATCCCTTCATTACTTTTCTTGAAATCAAGCCAATTATATATTAACATGTTTAGATGTTTCGAAACAATATGGAGCAAGATACCCGATTAGCATGGAAAAATTTCATGAAGATGGAAGTTAAGACTGTTAAATTCTGTAACATTTGAACAAGAGTTCACGCTATTTGTGACATGCTAAGACCTGAATCAATTTACTACGAAAATCAAAAAATAAACAATACAAAAAAAAAATGTACATGTATATTGCATACATAGTCTTTTAAAATATGAATCTGAATAGTGTAAAGCATGTTAGAATTATTTTTAGAGCTCTTTAAAACCCTGTACTATAAATTAATGATGTCTCAAATAAGCATGTAAAACACCAAAATGACTGTTTGTATCAGAAATGGTTTCCATTGTACAAGCTATTTAACTATATTGCCGATATTTCGCTTTAATAAATTTTATTCATGTTTGATGATATCAACACAAAATCTACTACCACTGGGCCCTGGTATATTAGGTATGAGATTTTGTAAGATTTATGGACAGTCCAGAAAGTTAATGATTTCTCAATCCATAAAATGTAAAATTTGCTTTTTTAGTTAAATACTAAAATCTGCAAATTAAGACTAAAATCTGCAAATTAAGACAAGTTGTTTTATTGATGTTTTACAAATAAATAAGGTGATGAGACAAGTTTCATCCATGTATGGTGACTTGGAATTTTTTGTAAAAGTGAAGATTAAAAAGTCATCAAATTGTTTTGAAACTTAATTATAATATACGGTTACAATTTATAACATGAGCAGTCACCTTAATTAGTCATTTTAAGCTGAAGTTTTGAATAATGATACCCTTTCTACTATTTTCACAATTAATGTCTGTAAATTTACAGTTGTAAAAATTATCATTTTTATAACGGAACAATCGCAAATTAACACTTAAGGTGTTCCGAAAGAAAACAGAAATGATGGATGAGATACCGAATGACACCCTTTAAAACAAAAAATGTCAAATAAAAATTGAAATTTATCTGACTTTACCTTTCAAAGGCTTTGCCTACTTTTCATATTAGCATAAATCCTAAATCAGTAAAATTATATAAAAAAAGTCCTAGAGTGAGTCCAGTGAGGCGGCATGGCCGTGTGGTTAACGCATTAGACCAGTAATTTAATGATCGCTAGCCGCATGGGTTCAAACCCAGTCAGGGGTTGTTGTTTCATTGAACAAGAAACTTTACAGTCATTGTTCAGTACTGGTTGGATTTGAAAATGTGTCTATTATAACTTCCTACACAATCGAACTAAAATAAATTCTGTGTAAACCAAACACCTAGACATGTATAAATGGTTAACAATAACATATTTCCTAAGATTATGAAAGTTTATTGGCTAACCTGCAGCTATTCTCACTCTGAATTCACTGTCATCAGCAAGAGCAATAGCTCTATTCAACAAAAGGGAACAGAAATCTTCAGAGCTCACTCTTGCAAGAGCTTTGGAGCCCATCAGAATTCCATGTTTAGTTTCCCATTCATTTGAGCTATCTAACAGCATGTCAGTAAATTTTTTCTCAAGGAAAGAAATCGCATCATTGTCTGCTGATGCAAGATGTTTCTCTATTTGGCCAAAACCTTTGTCTCTGTCCAGTTTAGCTTTACTACATAGGTTCTTTAAAATTTCATCCATTTTAATGTTTTGATGTCGGTAGACGATAAACTCTAAACTAATCCGAATATCAATAAGATATATAGAAGCGCGATTTCTATTGGTCCTTTGAAAATCAATCTACAAATGAAAATTACTGTAACAAATGCTCAAAACCGGCATTTATTTATGGTTCCTGGTTTGCTTCTAGCTAAAATTCTTAGGACTTTGCGAGCTCGCAACCAGAAAGACGGAAGTTGAATTCTGTCCAGTTCACATGGGATAAACAATTTTAACAAAAATTCAATTTTTAACGATTTGTAAGTTATTGGAAAACAATTGTAGACATCGCTAACATACAGAAGAATCATGGGAGTTCCAGCGTTTTTTCGCTGGCTCAGTAGGAAATACCCGTCGATTGTTGTACACTGTGTGGAGGAAAAAGTAAAAAATTGTTTTTTTTTTTAATTACATACACACTTCACCGTAGGCCTTTTTTGTAGACACTTCACCCCTCAGACAGTTCACCCCTACTTAGAAATTTGACTGAGACACTTCCTCCTCATTTTTTTTGTTGTGAACAATATAAAAACAAAATTAATGTGGGAATAGTTCTGGCTTCCAAAACTTTATAAGCCGCTTTTTAATATTTTTGTTTTTCATCTGATGCGACATTAAAGTTTTGGATAAGACCCGTTACGAAACCTTACCAGAATAACATAAGTTGATTTAACCTTATTTTTCACTTGCAAATACGTTGACCCAATCAACTCTTGTGCATTTTACGATAAAACAATTATTTTAATATCATTCTATACCAATTAAAGTATCAAAATATTAATACCGTCATTAAAATTGCCTATTTAACTGTAAAACATCAATTTCACCGACTACAGCTGGCCATGACATTTATGTGCCACACGAGACCATTGTATGAAGTAATTAGCGGGAACCGATTAAAAAGAGTCGTGTACTACTATATTAAGAACATCTTTGTTGACATGATTTCGATATTTTTATTCAAGGTAATGTTTCATTTATTTTCATTAATTTTTTAGTACTTAAATATGATTTTATTAAAATCAAAAGTCAGTAAATCACCTTTTTCAATATCTTTAAAAAAAGTAATTTATAAAAATATTGGAAGCACATGGGTTCGTAAAGGTCAATCTCGTAATAACGTGGTCAAACATTTTGGCAATATGGCGGCCAAGTGCCGAAATTTTTACCTGTCGGAAACTATTAGGTAGTTATCAACAGATTATATATAGTTTTATCAAGGTATGCTTCACTTTACTTCATGGCATGTTCGATGAATGAATACGAGCGTGTCAGAATCAGATTCCTGGCACGATTATTGGTGGACTTTCCCTACGGGGTGTCTTCAGCATTCACGTCATGTCATAGTATATAAACGGGTATGCTGAAGACTTTAAGCTAATGTGGGAAATGTTAAATTCAAAAGTGATATTTGTTTATTTGTTGTTTTGAATTACAGTCAACCCGGCCACAAGTTAACCCGGCCTCAAGTCAATCCGGCCCCAAAATTGGTCAATCCGCCCCCACATTATTTTTAATTGGTCAATGCAGCCCCAAAATTGGTTAATGCGGCCCCAAAATCGGTCAATCCTGCCCTAAAATTGTTTTTCAGAGAATATTTTATTAAATTAAATTATTATGTTTTAGACGATATTTTGCTTCTTTCATGTTGCCTTTTGTCTATAAATGATATATTTATTATACACATTAAAAAAAGATTTTCAAAATATATATAAATGAAGATTATGAACCATATAATAAAGTTATTGAAAACATTATTAGGCTATAATTTGTCGGTAATTTAATTGCCCCAGTTCTGGCTTTTATACATAAAAGTGATAATGAATGATTATATAAACATCAATAATTATTAGTAAACGTATGCATTTATTCAAACGTGATGAACAAATAAGTATGAGCAATCATTAAAAAAAGAAATACTAATTGTGAAAAACCTTGGTCTATTTCACGTCTTTATTTGATGTAAACTCGAAAATATATTTTCCTAAATATGAAAATGCTATAACTTATGATGTCTTTTTTGGTACCGTTACTATACTAGTAAATCAAGAGAAAAAATAATGAAATATTTTTTTTTAATGACTAACTTTGGAAATATTTTAGGACTTACTCCACGGATTTATATAACATTCGTGCTTACTCTGACTGTGTGTTGTTTTTTTCCACATGTACCTTTACAAGAAGCTGTCCACAACATTCAGCCCTTATTAAAACTGTGTCTACAGGTATAGACCCGAAATCGAGAGAAGAGAGAAACGTTTAAATATTATGAATATAGCACTTCTATTTCACTTTTTCTTATTATCTTTCTATCTTTTTTCTATTCAGGAAATAATGTGAATAATTATCAAGATAAACAGCACAAGAGAATGTATTCAAAGATTTGTTTTAAAATCATCACCTTTTCTTTAAATAAGTTGTTAATTAAACAATAAAGCACATTAGTTAACTAGTTTTGATGACAACGGCTAATGTGATTCTAGATATCATAAATTTTTTTTTTTATCTTATTAACATATTTTTTGTATTACTTTATCATGTTTTTGACCAAAGGCAGAGTTTGTTTAAATAATTTCTTTTTCAATTAAGAGAGATTCTTTTTCAACAGGGTTCCTACTAAACACTGCTAAGAAGACACAAAGGACTGCTAAGGAGGCACAAAGGACCCTTAAAGATTGTTTGTTGTAAATTGCCTTTGAGTTTGTCCTTGAAAGAGTTATTTCATGTATATATTTTAGACAAGAGAGGTGAATGGTGTGAAGTTTCCTGTAGATTCAAGCCAGCCTAATCCGAATGATACAGAATTTGATAATCTCTATCTGGATATGAATGGAATCATACATCCCTGTACCCATCCAGAAGATAAGTAAGACTATTTTCATTGTTGAGGATTATGAACAGGCCAATATTTCAGGTTATTGGACCTGAGATTGGGTATATAACAAGTGTTTTGCTCTATTGATCATCACAGAATTTTTATTTAATATTAACAGATTGGCAATCCATATCATCAGTTGAAATGCTGTTAAAATCGGTTGTATTTCCAGCTTGTGTATTAAAATATCCCTTTGACCTTTGGCCAAATAGGTTGTTTTTGTTGGCACATCAGTAGCCTCGAATAATAATGCAAACCGTGTGGATGAATTTACACGAGGGTTGGTTGCTTACAATGTAATAACAATACAATTATAGCCGTGTATGAAGACATTGTTTTATCTAAAGATAACAGTTCTTAAATTTTACAACAAAACAACCGTTACCACAACTATTTTGATTTGGAATTTCCGTCCATTATTTGGAAAGAAAACTACTTTCCATCCTTTATTGGCAATAAAAATAGCAAAAAAAAGTATCACAATATTATAAACTATGCCAATTAATCTTCATACCTAGAGTTTTTGACACAGCGTACATGTACACGATCTGAGGAGCATTTTGATACGAACATATCTTTTTTCACCTATGAACAAAATATTAGATTCTTAAACAGTAAAAGTGTTATTTTCAACATTTTTTTTTTAATTGTATATATTATAAATAAGTATGTAATTTTTTCAGGCCAGCTCCAAAAAATGAAGAAGAAATGATGATTCTCATATTTGAGTACATAGACAGAATATTTTCTATTGTGCGACCAAGACGGGTGTTGTATATGGCAATAGATGGCGTGGTATGTTTTGATATCAATCTCTCTTAAGTTCAATAATTATTTTACTCTTAGTAAGTGTATGGCCATGACCTATTGACATAGTTAATTGATGATGCTTGAATTTAGCTGTTTAGGAGTCATCTATGTAAAGCATGAGTTTCGGGAAAAAGAACTTGAAATTATTGAAATTTATTTTAGCTTGTCATATTCATAAAGTCACAGTTAATGTCATAATATATACTAAAAGTTAGATTTTTTTTTTCGGTATAGAATACATATATAAAATACATAGACATTTAAAACAACATGCAGGATACAAACATTTAAAGCAGCACGCCTCCAGATTCATACTGATTTTCATGAAAAAATATGAAGTATATAACTGTGAAGAAACCAAAAGAAAGCAATTTGCACATTATCAATGACACTTACATTCCATGTTTATTAACCAAAGACGTGAAAAAATGCAAAAAGAGTCCTGACTGCCTTAGTAATGCAGTAGAAATATAGATTAATTACTGAAAAATCAGCCATTAATCGCACATAACATGTCAATTATTACTTGAAGCTTGAATCTTTTTACTTTTCCCTAAAAAATAGTACATTTTTCTCATGCTTGATTTTATTGAAATATTTTTGGAGGCATGCAGCTTTAAAACGTACATGAGAATAAATAAGCCATGACATGCACACCAGCACCAAGGATAGCACAAAAAAGAGAGACTCTTGTTTCCATTGTGGTCCACAAATATGTTAAATGGTATCATTTTAATTCTGAAACATTAGAATTTAGATGGCATGCAAATCACCTACTTTCTATTCAGTTTTGTATTTATTAAAGATTTGTTTATTTGCTGTTCAAAGTGCTTTAAAACAGTCAAGGAGAATGGTTACCTAGTAGTTAAGGTGTCTCCCTCTCAACTCAGAGATGGTAGGTTCAGTCTGTACTAGTGTCTGTCACATCAGTGGTTCCCCATACCATTCAATTCCAGGAAGCAGATGTCACTTGTGAATGGTTTAGATAGATTACAAGCTTTCTTAACAAGCTATCTTTTGAAAATACATGTGAACAGTCTTAGAGCATATTATAGTTGTATAACATTCCTTTTCCTCCAGGCTCCAAGGGCCAAAATGAATCAGCAGAGGAGTAGAAGATTCCGGGCTTCAAAGGAGGCAGTGTGAGTAACTAAGTAACTAAGCTGAGCCATCACAAAACCAACATAATGGTTTTACGACCAGCATGGATCTAGACCAGCCTGCGCATCCGCGCAGTCTGATCAGGATCCATGCTGTTCGCTTACAAACCCAATAACAAGTAGAGAAACTGATAGCGAACAGCATGGATTCTGATCAGACTGTGCAGAAGCGCAGGCTGGTCGGGATCCATGCTGGTTGCAAACCCATTCTGTTGGTTTTGTCATGGTGCATTTTTTCAGATGAAGACTGTCTGTTATAACAGTTTGACTTCCTGTAAAATTAACAGGGTAGGACTGCCTACTGATTTTGTAAGACATGGGTTATTTCTCAATGGATAGCTATTTTGGACATAAAAGTAACTATACCTACGTAACAAAGTTCTTTTGTCTTTTTAGCTCACCTGTCACAAAGTGACAGGGTGAGCTTTTGTGATCGCTATTCGTCTGTCCGTCCGGCGTCCGTAAACTTTTACTTTAAATGACAATCTCCTCATAAACCACTAAGCCGATTTTCATCCAATCTTCACAGGAATGTTCCTTTGGTGGTCACCTTTGAAAATTGTTCAAAGAATTTAATTTCCATGCAGAACTCTGGTTGCCATGGCAACCAAAAGAAAAAAACTTTAAATATCTTCTTCTAAAAAAAACCCCAAAGAGCTGAGAGCTAAGATATATAGCATGAACCAAAAAACATCTTCTAATGGGTGTCTACCAAGTTTGTTCAAATAAAAGCCCTTGGGTCAAAATTGGCCACCCCAGGGGGTCATTGATTTTCCCTATATGCATATAGTAAAAAACTTAAAAAATCTTCTTTTAAAAGAACCCAAAGAGCTAGGACTAAGATATTTGGCATGAAACATGTCTAATGGGTGTCTACCAAGTTTGTTCAAATAAAAGCCCTGGGGTCAAAATTGGCCCTGCCCCAGGGGGTCATTGATTTTCCCTATATGCATATAGTAAAAACTTAAAAATCTTCTTTTAAAGAACCCAAAAGAGCTTGAGCTAAGATATTTAGCATGAAACATGTTCTAATGGATGTCTACCAAGTTTGTTCAAATAAGAGCCCTGGGGTCTAAATCGGCCCCACCCCGGGGGTCATTGATTTTCCTTATGTGTGTATATAGCAAAAACTTAAAAAATCTTCTTTGAAAAAACTCAAATAGCTAAAGTTTAGATATTAAGCATGAAGCATCTTCTAGTGAGTGTCTACAAAGTTTGTACAAATTAAATCCCTGGGGTCAAAATTGGCCCCGCCCTGTGGGACATTGATTTTCCTTATATGTGTATAGCAAAAACTTAACAATCTTCTTTGAAAAAACCCGAATAGCTTGAGTTGAGATATTAAACATGAAACATTTTCTAGTAAGTGTCTACAAAGATTGTTCAAATAAAAGCCCTGGGGTCAAAACTGCCCCTGCCCCAGGGGTGTCATTGTTTTTAACTATATGTGTAAAGAAAAAACTATAAAAATCTTCTTTTAAAAAACCCAACAAGCTAGACCTTAGATGTTTAGCATGAAAATCTTCTAATGGGTGTCTACCAAAGTTGTTCAAATATAAAAGCTCTGGGGTTTAAACTGGCCCCACTCCGTGGGCCTATATACAGGTGAGCGACTATAGGGCCATCATGGCCCTCTTGTTTATTGTTTTTTTGTTTTCATTTCAAAGTGAGACAGCAGAAGAGATATCCCGTGTCAGAGAAGAGTTGTTACTTAAAGGTTGTAGTGTCCCTCCAGAAAAACCAGCTTCTGAAAAGTTTGACAGCAACTGTATTACACCAGTTAGTATATTTTTGTGACATCATATGAGCCGCATCATGACAAAACCAACAAAGTGCGTTTGCGACCAGCATGGATCCAGACCAGCCTGCGCATCCACGCAGTCTGATCAGGATCCATGCTGTTCGCTTACCAACCCTATTACAAGTAGAGAAACTGATAGCGAACAGCATGGATCCTGATCAGACTGCGCGGATGCGCAGGCTGGTCTGGATCCATGCTGGTCGCAAAGGCACTATGTTGGTTTTGTCGTGATGCGGCTCAATTATAACTTTGACTAGAGTTTATGACATTTGCAATGTTACATACCTGGTGTTGCAATCTGTATTAGAATCTATTCTTACTGAAACTCCACTACCTTCTGAAGTATCAAAAAATGGCTTTAAATACATTGCGGGTATTTACTCTTAGCGCCCTGGCCACAACAGATTATATGCAACCAGTGTAGACAATCACTATGCCGTCTGATCATGGTATCTACTGTTTACTGCAATATATTCAGTCAGTATATATTTTGAAATTTTTCACGTAAAAATGATGAATGGTTTTGTGCGGATTGAGAGATGGGCAAATCTATTTAAGTTATATAACGTGATTAGTGTTAAACATTTTTCTCAATTAATTATCTTGTAATTATCTTTGCTGTTAAACCACAAACTTTGATGAGATTATGTTTAAAGTAGTTATAATGGCACACGCTACCAATGGTATATCAAAATAATAAAACAACAAAAAACCCATAAATTGATGGTTAAGGAGATAGAAGGAGATAATTAGAGTATATATCTGAAAAGCTAGGGTAAAGAGAACTGGAGCTATGTATGGAAGGTCACAAATAAGCACAGCAGTTCAAGTTTTATGACTCCAAATAGTACATGTTATGTCCTTTTTTGTTGATAGAAAATGTCCTGAAATTTACACTCACAACTTTATTTAACCAGCTCAAGTATCGACATGAAACTTAAGATATACATTTTTGGGATAATAAGTAAGCTCATTAGGCCAAGTTTGACTTTGTAACTTACATTACTTGTCTTCATTTAAAATGATATTTACTTGAATATCTATGAAACCAATATAGGTATAAACTTGAAACAAGCAAGCTGACTAGGCTGTTACTGTTATATCATTTGTATAATTATGCATCATTTTCTTTTTTTCATTTATTATAATTGTTAATGTACCGAGTGTGTCATTTATTTTTGTAAGGTTCACAATGTTCTCATTTGCTAATGTAAGTTATATGTGTTATTCATTTATCAGGGTACACCCTTCATGTTCCGACTTGCCAACTGTCTTCGATTCTACATCCATGATAGATTAAACAATGACGCTGGCTGGAAAGGTATTAAGGTAATTCTGTCAGATGCCAATGTTCCAGGAGAGGGGGAGCATAAAATCATGGACTTTATCCGAAAACAAAGAGGTACATACAGTAAAACTACTATGAGTCGAACTTAGATTAGTTGATTTTCTCGGTGTGTCAAAGTAAAATGAAAGTCCAATTTTTTCCCCTATATATTTTCTATAAAAACCTATACATGAGTTGAAATTTTTGCTATACATAAGTTGAAAGTCTGATCAGGATCCATGCTGTTCGCTTACAAACCCTATAACAAGTAGAGAAACTGATAGCGAACAGCATGGATGCGCAGGCTGGTCTGGATCCATGCTGGTCGCAAACCCATTATATTGGTTTTGTCGTGACGCGGCTCATATTTGTTATTTGTTGTATATTTTCAGCACAACCAGACCATGATCCAAACACTAAACACTGTCTCTGTGGGGCCGATGGTGAGTTAGTTATTATCCTTCATTTTGCTTTGAAGAAAGTCTTTTCAAGTGATTGCTACTTGTCCTAAATAAAAAAAACAAACAAACTGTCATCATTATTTTAAGGATACAGATATTTGCTAATTCAATGTCAATTCAGCGTTGACTGAGGACAAAACAAAGAATTTCATTCTTGTTTTTTCACTTTTCTCTAAAATAAGGGACTTAACCCATACCCTGCTTTAACCAATAGTGGTTAGCTTAGACAAGCGTTGAAATTATCTTTGTTTCCACTCCTGCAAGCCATGTCAGTTTGTGTAGGGTAGGAAGGTCAATAATTTAAAAAAATAAAAAAATTTTAATCCAAAAATGAATTTTTTTTTTTTCCTATGGAAAGTTAAGTATTTGGAGTTCAAAACAAATTGTGCATGTTTAGCATTTGTTTAAAGATTAGAACAATATTTCCATATTTTTCAACATATAATTTTATCCCAGTTTGTATATTTGCAATTAAAACAACATCAGACAGATATAAAGATGTGATTGTAATTGACAGGCTCTGCTTTCATGTTTAGTAAAATAGATAATGTTGTTTTTTGGTAGGCAATACAATTTTTTGGGTAGCTGTGATTTTTTTGGATAGATAGCGGGAAACAAATGATATTTTATTTTAGGCCTTATGCCATAAGTATGGAGCCAGTCCAGACTGCTAATCTGTGCAGTCTGATCAGGTTCTATATTGTAGATAGCAATATTTTTAGCTGGTCTGTTTTGAAGAAAGTCCAGCTATTGTGATCATTGCATCAACGTGCAATAATTTTAATGTAGCCCTTTTTATAAAATATTTTAAAAGTTATCATCATGAAACTTGGAAAAGTTTCTTATTATGACAAGGTGCAGGTGTAAGATAAGGGCATAATTCTGAAAACTATAGTTTTAGAAGTTATGACCTTTTGAATTTAAATTAAGTAAGTGTTAACACTGCGAGTGCTTTGAAATCCCTTCAAATTCAAATGGATTGATTCGAATGCAAAGCAGGGTAAATTTTGTTTCAAAATTCAGCTGGTAGAGGCCAGAGGGTGCAGAGAAAATCTTTGTAAAAATCATGTTCTTATATTGATTTAATTGAAAGACTTGCTTACGATAAATATTCTACTTAGACTTTGGCTTCTGTGACCAAGTGGTTAAGGTCGTTGACTTCAAGCCACCTGTCTCTCACCGCTGTGGGTTCAAATCCTGACAGGGACTTTGGTTCCTTTCATGAGAGGAAGCTATTCAGCTAGCTTACGGAACGTCGGTGGTTCTACTCAGGTGCCTGTTTGTGCCTGAAATTATGCACAGAAGGCAACCTGAGGTCTTCCTCCACCAGTATAGTTGGAATATCGCCATATGACCTATATTGTCTAGGTGTGACGTAAAACCTAATCAAAGCAAAAAAACAAAATCTACTGAATCTAAATTTACCTTGAAACATATCTGTCAGAGAACCTACTTCATTGAATGTCAGATATGCTAGATTTGAATTTAACATAATTAAATACCAAATAGAAATGTAATCATAACATCTGAAATATAGTTTTTCTGCCAAAACGGTTCCAATTTACATCTTTAAAACTATTGTTTATCCTGTAATTATATTTATAACAACAACAAATTATATTAGTTAAAAGCTTCTGACACAAGCAAAGAATATAATACATTTACAAAGAGTGCAATAATGTAATAACTTTTGCATATTTTTTTTTCAGCTGATTTGATCATGTTAGGTAAGTTGTTATGTAATTTAATACCCACCCCCCCCCACCCCTCTACAAAAAATCTTACAGTTATGAATCATTATCTAAACATTAACATTTAGCTGTATATTTTATATAATTCCCGAATGTTGAAAGCGTCATGCATGTACCAGAAATCTTGACAAACACACAGCTTTTTGATAAATTTTCTTTAAAAATTGATAATACTAAACAAATCAACCATTAATTTAACATGATGTGTGTTGAGTTTCTTTGGTTCCTATTTTATTTTGTAATTTTTTTTATTTTATTTTTTATGACCATATTTTAGAATATGATTTTTAGCTCGACTATTCGAAGAATATGAGAGCTATTGTAGTCGCCCCCGCGTCGGCGTCTGCGTTGGTTAAAGTTTTTTGTAAAGTCAAATATCTCAATCATTACTTGAGATATTCAATTGAAACTTACAATACTTATTTATAGTAACAAGGTACATCATATTGACAAGTTGGATAACTCTTTCTACAATATTGACAGAATTATGCCCCTTTTTAAAAACTTAGAAATTTTGGTTAAAGTTTTTTGTAAAGTCAAATATCTCAATAATTACTTGAGATATTCAATTGAAACTTACAATACTTATTTATAGTAACAAGGTACATCAGATTGACAAGTTAGATAACTCTGCCTACAATATTGACAGAATTATGCCCCTTTGAAACTTAGAAATTTTGGTTAAAGTTTTTTTGTAAAGTCAAATATCTCAATTATTGCTTGAGATATTCAAATGAAATTTAAAATACTTTTTTATAGTAACAATGTACATCAGTTTGCAAAATTGCATAACATAAATTTGAAGAATTATTTGCCCCTTTGAAACTTAGAAATTTTGGTTAAAGGTCTTCAAAGATATTTACTTGAAACTTTACACATGCACTTAGGGTCATAATTGGAGGGTCATAATTGTATGTCACTGACCAAGTTCCATAACTCTATCTTGCATTAAGGCTGATTCATATCCCCTTTTCTACTTAGTCTCTTGGTTAATTTTTACATGCAAGTTTTACATATCTCAATAACTATTAAAGATATTTATTTAAAACTTCACATTTGCATTAAGGGTCATAATTGTAGGTCACTGACAAAGATCCATAATTCTATCTTGCATTTAGGCTGATTTTTCTCCCCCTTTTCAACTTAGAAATTCATGGTAAGCTGTTATCTCAATTACTACTGAAGGGTTTGTGCCCTTTTTTGGGACAATTTTATGCATTCATAATAATAAAGCAGTGATTTACTTGATAAAACATCTTAATTAGAAGCCTATGTACCTTTTCTGTCAAATTTATGTATTCATAGGTAATTAGTATTATTATACTCAATAAAACAACCTTGTGACATTACCTTCCGAATAGTCAAACCAATATTGTATAATTAGACTCTCTCTAAGGCCTATAACATGAATTTATTAAAAAAAAATTAGACCTTTTGTGATCTTAAAAAAATTAACATTATCAAGGCTCTTTTACTATTAAGCACTTAGAATAGTCGAGCGTGCTGTCCTACCGACAGCTCTTGTTTTACAATGTATTTTATTTGTCTGTGAAGGTCTGGCTACACATGAACCATACTTTACCATCATCAGGGAGGAGTTCAAGCCAAATAAACCACGCCCTTGCAGTCTGTGTGGTCAGATTGGTAAGTTGATACATTGTATATTTCTAAAGCTATTGACAATGAAGATACGTCCATAAGTCCACAATGAAATTGTTTAGTACCTGTTTATGAAAAACATGTATATCATTAAAAAATATATATACATGAACATACAAATAAAGGTAAACAGTGAATTCACAGAAAGGTGGCAAGTGGTTTCAAATTTCTTATCAAAACAACCATCTTTTATTTTTCATCACAGGTGACATATAGCAGTGATTTTTTTTTTCAGTTTTCAAAACAGCCTGTGGCTTCCTAAAGGGGGAAATATAGCATGATAAATCGGAAAACCTTAAATTCCAACAAATGAGAATGGAATTTACCCACACATTTGATAAAATTTTCAATTTCAATTTATTTTAACATGCATGCTACATAATAGTGGCTACATGTATCTATAGGGACAGCTTTCTGTCTTTCAGTCAATAAAATTTATCATTAACCTGATATGAGTCAGCTGCTGTTAAGTCATTGCTCTGGTGAGGAATATTCACATTTCAGGGGAAAATATAGCATTTTTAGGGGAAAATGTTATTATTTTACCCCAGAGGAAACAGCTTTTATTCGACTGTAAAATATAGGGTATAGGAATATAGGAATATAACTTTTTCATATTAATTCTAACTACAACAGTTCATTATTATAGGTATTAAAAAGGCAAAGAGGGAAGTAAAAAAAATATCAGTTGGCATTGCCTTTAGCCAATCCTGCACCAGGAAAGAAATGTGTAAATTTTGTACATTTTATTGTGGGATAATATTTGAGTTGATTTACAAAATATATTGACATGTTGATGATGAGATATGGTGCAAAAGTATGTTATAATTTTGTTTTCTGTAAGGTCATGAACTGAAGGAATGTCAGGGAATAGAGAAGGAAAAAAGTGGCGAGTTTGACCAGAAAGCAACTGTGTTTGCCGACGAAACACCTTTCATATTTCTACGCCTAAATATACTTCGAGAATATTTAGAAAGAGAGCTTCTGATGAATGGCCTGCCATTTCCTTATGACTTCGAGGTATTAATTATGTTCATCTAAAGTGGGCAAAGAATATACAAATGATAATTCATTTTGTAATGATTATACATGTAAAGGGTCAGGATTTGTATTCTTTAAGCCTGTACTATGTGATTTTTATTTTACATTTTGATGCAGCAAACAAAACATTTCCAAGTGCGATAATCATAAGAAAATGGCAAAGTTTAACAAATCTTTAAAGCAGTGATAACTGACATATAACTATGAATGTTTTTTGTTTTTTTGTTGTTTTTTTCTTCACAAAAAAACCCCAAAAAACAAAAAAAAGAAACGTTAATGTTGAAAAGTCAAACTTGTTGTAAGAAATATAAAATTATCGACAAATATACTAAAATTGATATCTGTATTACTATAAATTTCAACTGAATAACTCATTTATTAACTTGAATGGAAATACTGCACACCATTGAATTTGAGGTAATTAAGGTCAAGGTCATTGGGCCAAAAATCAGTTTTCAGACTTTTTTTTTATGTTTACAAAGTTCTTGCTTGTGCAACAAATTAGTACTTGCACTTACTCAGGTGACCAGTATACAGGACTTCTTGGTCCATAGGGTGCAAAATTAAACAGTTACAGTAAAAACTCAAATGAATGATATCCGTCCAAGATTTTGTTAAAAAACTGGTTTCAGTTGAATCAAGAATAATGCAAAAGAAATTCATGTTATTTTGTCCTCCAATTTCAGAGAGCTTTAGACGACTGGGTATTTATGTGTTTCTTTGTTGGGAATGATTTCTTACCACACTTGCCATCTCTAGAAATAAGGTAAATGTTTAATATTTAAACCAAAAAATAAACAAGCCGTGTCATGACAAAACCAACATAATGGGTTTGCTACCAGCATGGATCCAGACCAGCCTGCGCATCCTCGCAGTCTGATCAGGATCCATGCTGTTCGCTATCAGTTTCTCTACTTGTAATAGGGTTTGTAAGCGAACAGCATGGATCCTGATCAGACTGCGCGGATGCGCAGGCTGGTCTGGATCCATGCTGGTAGCAAACCCATTATGTTGGTTTTGTCATGACATGGCTCAAACTGTCATCTCTGAGCAGTCTGACATGGTTTGGGTAGAGTGCACTTTATCGGTACACCCTTATCGTGCATGTCTATATTTGAAGAATGCCAGGCATTTTGTATTTAATCAAGCATGGATTTGTGGGCAATAGAATAGATCTGAATATGAGAGTTTCAAAAGAGTTTCAAAATTCAAAATTTTATCAAAATTCAGAAGTTAAATGTTGAATTCTGCTTAAGCTTGTGCTAGAGGATGTTGACGGCAGCTTGAAATTACCATTAACGTCCATGAAAAGGCTTAATTAAATCGAGCCTGCAACATTATCCATTTTAACGTGTTGGGCTATTTAAGGGATTTGTTTTTTGTCTATTTTATCAGTTTTAAGGGAATGGATTTGGTTTGGATAAGTCACAAAATATGATCAACACATAACAGAAGTGATTGATTGTTTCTTATACAAATGCCTACCATATATTTTAACTGTAGGTAGAATGTAATTACGATGATATGAGTGCAACAAAAAAATTTGTCACAGATTTTCACAAGGCAAACTGAGGCAGTCAGATGTATAGGAGTTGTTAGTAGCAGGTCTGTTTTCGAAGAAAAATTCAACAGCTATTATGATAGCTGCATCATGGTCATCTTTGTCGTTGCCAATTTCTTCAGGCAAAAACTTTAATGTGGGGCCATTTATTTAAATTTTAAAATAATCAACATGAAACTTGAAATACTTGCTTATCTTGAGAAAGTTGCTGTTGTGAGACAAGGGGCATAATTTTGAAAGCTATATTTTTGGAGTAATCCCCCTTTTTAACTTAGGATTTTTGTCAAAAGTGGTTATTTTAACAAATCATCTTTACAGCGCATGCAGTGCTTTTGTTGAATAAGTTTGGTGCCAAATTGATGTGTCTTTTTATTTAGTTCATGACATTTGGTCCATGAAGTTGGAAGAAATTGTTCCACATGAATGTTGGGGGTAAACTTTAAGGGCATAATTATTATCCTTTGAATAACATTGCTGATAAAATTTACGCCCCAAGTTCTAATAGCACATTAAATATTTTAGTTAAAGCGACTTCAGGGAACAGTTATTAAAGTATCGCTTGACCTGTTGTGTAAAAAAAACCATAAAATCTACATATAAAGTTATGGAAGCCTGAACTATATATATCTGATGAAATATGAAGAAGTGTAATAGACGTGAGTCTACTTTTAAAATTTACAATTGAAACGGTCAGACCTGAATTAGGATGATCAAAGATGGATAATGTTATCTTCATAAGACTTTGGTTGTGTATGCTGCCCTTAAGTAGCAAGCATGAATTAATAAAATATAAGATATATCAACATGAAACTTTGTTGGTAGATTGATCTCATTGAGTAAAAGTGTACTACAAAAAAACCATAACTCTGTTTTGCCCAATTTTTTAATTATCTCCCCTTTTAAAAAAATCTTGTCCGGAAAATAACTCTAAAACTACAAGAGATATCATTATGAAATATTGTAGGTAGATGGATCTCAACGGGTAGATGTGCAGTGCACAAGAACTTGAACTCTGCCTTGCCAAATTTTGTAGTAATTGCCCTTTGTTCATCTTTACATTTTGAAGTTGTCCGGGATATAACTAGGAAACCATAAGGGGTTTTAACAAGAAACTTTGTTGGTTGACAGATCTCATTGATTAGAAGTGCAGTTCAAAGAATGGTTACTCTGCCTTGCCTAATCTTGGAATTATAGCACATTGAACTTTTTCAAGAGACATTACTCTGAAACTACAAGAGGTGAACTTTCCTGTGTCCAAAACCTATTCGGTGAGCCTCACCCGACTCAAACCGGGCTCTTGTTTAAACTGGATCATTTAAAAATGACAAAAGAAAGTACCATTCATCTGTTTTAGCGATTGTATATTTTTTTATAGTTTGTGTACTTACGACATTAATATTAAAGACTTTTTTTAATTAATAAGAGCAAACTGACATTTTTTATAAGCTTATTATTTGTATTGCCTGGGTTCCCATATTTACTTGATTATGTAAAGTATTCTAACAATGATCAAGTGTGTATATGCGACCGACATTTGTGACAGTAAATTGAGGATATGTAATCGAGTTTTTTTTCAAGTTTCTTTAATAATGTAAACAGATTTAATCTGTCACTAACCTGATTATCTGTACTGTATGTATATACATTTATTTCACGAAAATCGGCGGGAAAAGAGCCGACGCATGTTTGTAATATAGAAAACAAAGACAGAGTAAAAGTATTTGTTGGGATATAAATTCGTCGGATCTTAAATTCGTGGATTGACCTACCCACGAAAACCATGAAAGTTTGTGCCCCACGAATAATAATGATTTTACAGTATGTGATGCCTTTATGTTTCAGGGGCAAGCATGGTTTTGTACACTGTCTTTAACTTATCAGGTCTGAATTGATTTTGGACATTTTTGTCTAAAGTTCATTTGTCTCTCACCTCTGATTCATTGGGATTGGGATAATTTACCTGAAACTTGCGGAGAATTAGGTGATTACTCTTTAAAGTGACATTATGCCCATCCAAGGATATGAAGTTTGTTAACCAGGGAAAGTGAGAATAAGATTACATTTTCCATAATTCCTTACAATTTTACACTGATTCTTGTTGCTGGGTCATGTGGGGGTTACGTACATTGAGCGCAGCCTTTGCTTGTTGATCTTGTTTATCATATTTTACAATTTACTTTGCACAAACAATATTAAAAAAGCACATGGCCCAAGGAAATTTCTGTAAATATTCATCGGAATATACCTGTAGCATTTCAATTTTCTGTTATAAAAAAGAGTGGGGCAGTCTTTTTATATTTCAGACAGAATTAGATTTATCCTAAATATTTCCACTATCAACTGTTGTTCAAACACCATTATAACAGTCAATCTTTAGAAATATATAGTCAATTCAGCACAAGTTGACCATGAAAAAATGAGCATAATGTCACTTTAATTATCCATAAATGAGTCGAATAAGCATAAAAACAACAACAACAATGAAAAACAAACAAAAAAAACCCATCTTGATGATATTTTACAGGGAAGGTGCAATTGACAGATTGATAAAGCTGTATAAGAATGCTGTCAGAAGGACTGGGGTAAGATAAATTACAAATATTCAAATGATATTTGATTATGATTGAAAAAATTTATGTATAAAGACAAAAATAATGTAAAATTTACCTATGATTTAAGTATGATTTAGTTGTTCATAAGTCTATTTGTTGATGTTAATGTAATCATAATATTTTATTATCTTTATTATTATTTTCCCTCATATTATTAATGAAATTTAGAAAAATCACACTGAAAAGTGGTATAAATTGTACTTTGATATATTTCAGGTGTTTCATATAACTGCTAATGCTAACACAAAAATGTTTTGTTAATGATATTCATAAAAGAATGTATGATAAGGGTTACCAAAACAGAATTTTAAATTAAGTGTTGGCCTCATCTCGATGTTGGGTGGGGTTTTGGTTGGCTAATATTTTCCTCTAAAATACAGTATACCAGGCTATATAAGCTCAGTGGAGATCATAAGGTCTCTGGACTTCAAGCACTGGGTCTAGGAGATGTTTTACTTATGACTTTGGTTGACAATAATATATATAACTGGTCAAGATCAAAGGTGCCAAAAATAGATTCCTACATATTTGCTTAAACAGCCATTATTTATAGACAGATGTATTTCATATTTAGTAGGATGATAAATTGTGTGGTATTCTTTCTTTGGATTAAGTTAGGGGTCACTTAGATCAAGGTCACCAGTGCTAAAAATAGATTTTTACACTTTTGCCCATACAGCCTTTATTTATTGACTGATGTCTTTCATATTTGGTATGAATATTACTTGCATGGTTTTCTTCCTTTGATTGAGTTAGGGGTCAGTAGGTCAAGGTAAGGGTGCCAAAAATAGATTTCTAAACACTTGTAAAAACAGCATTTATTCATAGTCATATAAAACTTCATTCATTTTCCACAATTGTTTTAAGCCCTAGCTGCTGGCAGCAATTCCAACTACCCTCCACTTGCCCCTCACCGCTGTGGGTTCGAAACCTGACAGGGACTTTGGATTCTTTCATGTGAGGAAGCTATCCAGCTAGCTTACAGAACGTCGGTGGTTCTACTCAGGTGCCCATTTGTGCCTGAAATAATGCACAGAAGGGCACCTGAGGTCTCCTTCCACCAGTAAAGCTGGAACGTCGCCATATGACCTATAATGTGTGGGTGTGACGTAAAACCCAATTAAATAAACATGACCAGTGCTGTTTGATCATGGTCTGCTCTGTTTAATGTTTAGGCTGTACATTTGAGCCGCATCACGACAAAACCAACATAGTGGGTTTGCGACCAGCATGGATCCAGACCAGCCTGCGCATCCGCGCAGCCTGATCAGGATCCATGCTGTTCGCTTACAAACCCTGTAACAAGTAGAGAAACTGATAGCGAACAGCATGTATCCTGATCAGACTGCGCAGATGCGCAGGCTGGTCTGGATCCATGCTGGTCGCAAACCCACTATCTTGGTTTTGTCGTGACGTGGCTCATTTTTTTCACATTTTCAATGGTTAGGTTCAGATTGAAAGATGGAAAAAGTCCATTTAAGATATTTAACGTTGTAAGGGTTAAATGATATGGGTAGAGAATTCGGGATTTTCTTATGGAAAAAGATGTAAGTACATTGATAAAAGTGACATGAACAAATGAAAGTCAAAATAATTTTTTATTCTGTCATAATTCCTTTTAACTAAATAATTTACTTTGCATAAACAATAAAAAATGCAAGGATCCAAGCAAAATTGCTGTAAATATCCAAACGAATTTACCTGTAACCTTCAGATTATATAAAGAGTGGGGCAGTCTTTTTTATTCTTTAGGCAGATTTAAATTTAATTCTGAACATTGATCCACTATTAATTGTTGTTCAAACACCATTTTAACAGTCAAACTTTTGAAATATAAAGACAATTCAGCTATACTTGACTGTAAAAATATGAGCATAATGTCACTTGTAGGATAGCTCAATATACTTTGGAGCTTTGTTAGTCCATTTCAGAAATTTGGCAGATTATGTGTTAATATATAAAAAACTATGTCTGTATGTATATAATCATATTGAACAGGGATACCTTACAGACAGTGGTGTTGTGGCCTTGGAAAGAGTTCAGCTTATTATGCAAGGTATGTATTGCTTAGACATGATATTATAGGCAGGATTTTGAATGAATTGGTCTCTGTTTAACGCTTGTTTAGCAAGAAGAGAGAGAATTGTCACGTGTTGAGAAACATAGGATTTTTAACTTCACTCAAGGATTCAGGATTATGTTAAAACCCAAAGAAACATAAACTTCTAATCTAATCTAATGAAAAGGGATAAGGGGGTATATTGTTTTGCTAAGTTGATAAGTCTGTCTTTCCGTAGGTAGACCACATGGTTTCCATTGATTATCTGGAAAACTATTTATCAAGAAGTCTTCATATTTCACACATCAATTGGTCATAACTAGTAGATGGCCCCTTATTGATTTTGCAGTGACTAGGTCAAAGGTCAAGGTCATATGGGCTTTAAATGTCAGAATGGTTTTCGCTCATTACCATGAAAACTTTTATCACAGTCTTCATATTTCACATGATTAGTCATAATAGGGTCACTAGTTCAAAGGTCAAGGTGTTTATATTTTACATATTGATTGGTTATAACTTGTAGGTCATTATTTTTCTTTTTTCCATAACTGAACACTGCCATGTATCCATTTATGGCAAGTTTCTATAACCAATAGTATGAGTCAAGGGTATATGTGTCATTTGACATTTCTTGTTTGATACTGCGAATTCACTTATATTCGTGGGCATGAAATTTCGTGGTTTTATCAAAACGGGCATTTTCTTTGGTTCCTAAATTTGTTGATTTTTATTTTCTTGTAAAAAAATTTAGTAACTTTGCAAAGTAATCTTAAACTTAATCGCCAAACATTTTTACTTACAGCATGTAATATCTTTACATGTCACACAACGCTTGTCAGTAATTTTAATGCTTGCCTCTGGGCATAACTCTAATATCGCACAGTTACTGCCCATAACTGGCTGCAATTAACACATTTATGTGACATGATATGCACCTCCATTTGACACACTGTCCCTGTAAACATCGCATAATTTATACGGCACCTTACACGTTTTAACCAGCGAGTTTAAAAAGTTTACACCCTGAATTGGTCTTACGCAACATCACAGCGACTGTGTAAATATACATGCATATAAATTAATCTGAGTAAATAACACGAGTATGTGTGGATAATAACACAAGTATGTGTGTATCTAGAAAAAGTCGGTGGCGATTTTGATGTTTACGTAATAGCATTCGCACTAATACAGATTAAAATTCATTTAAACTGGATCATTTAAAAAAGACAAAAGAATGTACAATTCATCTGTTTTAGCGATTGTATTTTTTATAGTTTTGTGTACTTACGACATTAATATCAAAGACTTTTTTTTAATTAATAAGAGCAAACTGACATTTTTTATAAGCGCTCTTTATTGGATTGCCTGGGTTCCCACATTTACTCGATTATGTCAATTATTCTAACAATGATCAAGTGTGTTTATGCGACCGACATTTGTGACAGTAAATTGAGGACATATAATCGAGTTTTCTTTCAAGTTTCTTAAATATTGCAAACGGATTTAATCTGTCACTAACCTGATTATCTGTACCGGTATGTATATACATCCATTTCACGAAAATCGGCCGGAAAAGAACCGACACATGTTTGTAAAATATAGAACAGAGACAGGGTAAGAAGTATTGTTGGGATAAAATTTCGTTGGATCTTAAATTCGTGGATTGACCTACCCACACAAACCACGAAAATTCGTGCCCCACAAATAATACTGATTTTACAGTAAATGCAATTTTTTACTTGTTTTGGCAGAGTAGTTAAAGTTACTTGCTTGGAACCTCTTGCCCCACACCAATGTCAGTTAAAATTCTGTACAAGTTTGTTTATCTTGTATGCAAGGAAGCTATCCATATTGTTATGAAGGTTGTTTAAATGATTTCTATGTCATGTTTGAATAAGGATCGTTTCGGGTTGAAAACTTGATGACAGTCCGTATAGAAAAATCTTGTTTACGTTTGAAGTATTTCAGATGCAGCTATGAATGTTATAATATCAGTTTAAGTCTGCTCTTCATTCATTACTAACAATATTAATTAAGAGCCTTAATAGTAATGTGAGTAATATAAGGGCCATCATGGCCCTCTTACTTTGAAATTTTCCCTAAAAATGATGAATTATTTTGTCCAGAGTGAGTGATAGACAAGTCTATTTTAGATATTTAGTGTAGGAAGAGTTTGATAGTTACCAGAGGTTGACAGTTATATTGTCGGCCCAATCTTACCCTCAAAGAAATATGAGCCGTGCCTTGACAAACCAATATATTGCGTTTGTGACCAGCATGGATCCAGACCAGCCTGCACATCCATGCAGTCTGATCAGGATTCATGCTGTTCGCTTACAAACCCTATAACAAATAGAGAAACTGATAGCAAACAGCATGGATCCTGATCAGACTGCGCGGAATCATGCTGGTCGCAAACGCACTTTGTTGGTTTTGTCATGGCTTTGCTCAATTATTAAATTGTTCTTAAAGAACTGGGAGAGGTTGAAGATGAGATTTTCAAGAAGAGACGTGATGATGAGATGAATTTCCGCAGACGAAACAAAGAAAAACGGCGTAGAAATAGAAGGGTAAAAAGAATTCAGCAATGTTTTTTCCCCATATATTAACAACTTCTCATTTAAATGATGCATGTACATGTATATTTTGTTAACTTTGGTATTACCAGAATTTTATTAAAGTGTTGTATTTTCTGTTTTGCACCTAATTTTTATGCCCCCGCCATATAATGGCAGGGGCATATAGTGTTACCCTGTTCCGTCATTCAGTCCTTCCATCATCATCAGTTTCCGTTCATTATCTTAATAACCGTTGTACATATTGAACTCAAATTTGGCATATTGATATGTCATGAGAAAATACAGGTGAAGTTCGAAATTGGTCATGGTTCGACGATTTTTGGCAGAGTTATGCCCCTTTTACTTTGAAAATAATATGAAATTTTCAGTTTCCGTTCATTATCTCCCCAACAGTACAACACATTCAACTCAAACTTGACATATGGATATGTCATGATAAAATACAGGTCAAGTTTGAATTTGGTCATGGTTCGATGATTTTTGGCAGAGTTATGCCCCTTTTACTTTGAAAATAATATGAAATTTTCAGTTTCCCTTCATTATCTTCCCAATGGTACCACACATTCAACTCAAACTTGACATATGGATATGTCATGGGAAAATACAGGTCAAGTTCGAATTTGGTCATGGTTTGATGATTTTTGGCAGAGTAATGCCCCTTTTACTTTGAAAATAATATGAAATTTTCAGTTTCCGTTTATTATCTCCCAAACAGTATTACACATTCAACTCAAATTTGACATATGGATATGTTTTTGGAATGCGCAGACCAAGTTTGAATTCAGTCATGGTTCAATGATTTTTGGCAGAGTAATGCCCCTTTCACTTTGAAAATGATATGAAATTTACAGTTTCTGTTCATTATCAACCCAACAGTGTTACATATTCAACTCAAAATTGACATATGGATATGTCAAAGGAATGCGCAGGTCAAGTTGGAATTTGGTCATGGTTCGATGTTTTTTTTGGCAGGGTTATGTCCCTTTCACTTTGGAAATAATATAGATACATCTTAGGAATAAGCAGTTTAAGTTTGAATTTGGTCGTGGTTCAATGATTTTGGACAAACTTATCTTTCCTGAATGTTGGAAAAAATTTTGAACTTTCAGTTTCAGCACTCACACTTTTGTGGAAATGTATATAGCCATTATTTTGGCTACAAATATGCAATATGCTATTTTCAAAAGGTTAAGACTGAATAATTTCAGTGCCTTGAAAATTGTATAAAAATGGTTTGTGTTAACATTGAAAAGTTTTAAGGGCTTTGAACTTAGAATGAAAAATATAATTTGTGCAAACAAATTTGGAACTAAATATTATAACATTTGAAATTTTGGCTGCATGCGGGGGCATCCGTGGCATGATGACACATTTCTAGTTTGATGTTAATTTTTTATAATAATCATGTTTTATTTGTTATTACATAATAATCTTTTATACTACGGGAATTTGGGGACAGTAAATAATATATCAAAATTAATCATGAAATTTATTTTTTGAATTTGTGTTTAAATTCATTTTTTTTTATACATACATTATTGTCTCTTCTGCAAACATTGTATACAAACTCTCTGTGCTTCATATCATAAATTGTTAAATTGTGTTGTACTATAGGCAATTTATTAACATTCTTTATGCAATAATAAATTGAAATGTTTTATTAACTAAATGAAGTTCGATGACAAACCTCGTTATATCCCTGGGGGCATGCTGGCGCCACAACCTTTGGGACGAGGACGACCCGGTGTGGGTGCACCTTCAGGAAATGTGAGACAAGAAGCATATCAACAAAGAATGCAAAACTTCTCCACATCCTCGTCCGACAGAGATTTGGCAAACTTAGATGCGGCGCAGGCGCTCAAAGCAATGATGAATTCTGATGTTAGTATACAACTTCATTTCTTAAATCATGTTTCATAACTATACCATAAGTATGTATCAGTGTTTGAAATTCAAATCAGTGATTCTTTTTTGCATAAAGACATATAAAAAAAATTCCATTGGTCCCATAGAGTTGTATTTTAGAGTTTTATAAAAATTTAAGTAAGCAGGTAACAGTCTGTGACGTAAGCTAGAAAAACAGTAGTTTAGGAACATTGAAATTTGTTATTGGGTTTCTTATTTGTAATATTCCAATGGCCTGAACATACATGTAAGTTCTTGAAATGTTATTGTCAGAGCAGCTTAGGCTGTTGTCACTGAGATAACAAATAGAACTTTTTATTTTATGCTTTTCAATGGATTACTGATTTATCCGTGAAAATTATATTTGATAATTTCACAATGAAAATTATCAAAATATAATTTCACTTTTTTCAATGACGAAACTACTTTTTTAAGATTTTCCCCATGTGGTACCTCAATTTTATTTTTACTGACAATTCTGACAATGTCAGGCTGTTAAAAGAAATAGCAAAGCTGAAATAGATAAATAACTTAAATGTCAAAAGTAATAAAGAGAGAAAACTTACTTCTATTTATTCAAATTCCAATCACCAAATTTCGTCTCTAAATTTTTTTGTTTCGTTTTTACAGTCTGAAAAATACATTCCTTCCCCATGCATAAAAACTGCTCTTGATGACATTTGGGCATATTAAAGTATCCTACGAGCAATAACTGCCGTATGCTTTATGAAAAATTGAAAAGCATTGACAGCCATCACTCGTAGAATAAGTAAAACAACCCAGCGTTCCTTAGCAAGTTTCCAAGTTTTCCATTTTCCTAGCTCCTTTTCCGAATGTTTTCACTTCTGTCATCACTTATTTTTTGTCTGTTACAATCCTCAAATAAGTTTTCTTTCTTTTAAAAAGGTGTATGACTAACAAATCCAAATTATATCCCTCTGAATCTTACACAATTATTTTCCTCCCATGAAATACACAACTTTAAAAAATGGCTGCCGCTTACATTTTACAAAGCCAGGTCTAATATAAATTCGCACTAAGTAACAGAAATATGTATGGATGGTTGGACTTTTTCTCCTACAAGAATTGTTTGTTTTTATTATTAATACAAGCGATCATTCATATTTTTTTAATAAAATGAATAAATATCACCGTCATTTAACCTTGATTGACGGACTTATTTTTCAGCTCAAGACTTCTTGTTTTTAATGAGAAATTCCGTCTAAATGGGGCTCTCAATGGGGGAAACAGATTTTAATATTAACGTTAAAATTATGGAAATTTCGTCTTAACTTGTTTTTAAGCATAAAATAAAAAGAAAATTTGTCTGTTTGTTGTGTAAGATGTAATTTTATTTCATCTCGTGAACTTTAAAAACAGTATTCTCACTCGTGGCTACGCCACTCGTGAGAATACTGTTTTTAAAGCCCATTCGATGAAATAAAATTTCATCTTACACACAAACAAACAAATATCCTCTATTTATTACATGCTTTTCGTTGGTTTATATGAATATAACAGTGAAATATAAAACTGATATTTCACTGTTTGAAACAGTGAAATTAACAATTTCATATTTTCATTGTTTTGAATTTAAGCCCGTAATATATATATATACCAGCGTGCATATTACTTGAAACCAACTTAATGATGTCACGCTGTTTTACTATTTGGCGCGATTTTCATTAAGTATAAGGATAAAATGTCTTTTTAAATGTTTCTTTGCATATGATTAAAAGAAAATTTGTTTAGTTTAGCGTAAGATCGAAATATATTTCACCTACTGAACACCAAAAGTTCATATTTCACTCGTGGCTGACTAAACAAATATCCTCTATTTTAGCCGCGTCACAACAAAACCAACAATGTGCGTTTGTGACCAGCATGGATCCAGACCAGCCTGCGCATCCGCGCAGTCTGATCAGGATCCATGATATTTGCTTACCAACTCTATTACAAGTAGAGAAACTGATAGCAAACAGCATGGATCCTGATCAGACTGCTCGGATGTGCAGGCTGGTCTAGATCCATGCTGGTCGCAAACGCACTATATTGGTTTTGTTGTGACGCTGCTCATTTATTTTCTCACAATAGAATAACGAGAGAGGCGAGAAACGTAAACGTGAGAATATGGACAGTGACAGTGATCCTGAACCGGAAGATGATGTCAAGTACGTTTTTATTTCTTATTCTATTACACATGGACTTAACAACATTCTGGCACTGAGCCAAATCTTATTCTATTTTTAGATTTTTTGTTACTATTTTGGTCAGTCATGTGACTTACCATCCTATACATTTTTAGCTCATCTGTCACTTAGTGACAGGGTGAGCTTTTGTGATCGCTTTTCGTCCGGCGTCCGTCCGTCCGCGTCCGTAAACTTTTACTTTAAATGACATCTCCTCATAAACCACTGAGCCAATTTCATCCAAACTTCACAGGAATGTTCCTTTGGTGGTCACCTTTAAAAATTGTTCAAAGAATTTAATTCCATGCAGAACTCTGGTTGCCATGGCAACCAAAAGAAAAACCTTTAAATATCATCTTCTAAAAAACCAAAAGAGCTAGAGCTTAGATATTTGGCATGAAACATCCTCTAATGGGTGTCTACCAAGTTTGTTCAAATAAAAGCCCTGGGATCAAAATTGGCCCCGCCCCAGGGGGTCATTGATTTACCCTATATGTATATAGTAAAAACTTTAAAAATCTTCTTTTAAAGAACCCAAAGAGCTAGAGCTAAGATATTTAGCATGAAACATCTTCTAATTGGTGTCTACCAAGTTTGTTCAAATAAAAGCCCTTGGGTTAAAATTGGCCCCGCCCCAGGGGGTCATTGATTTTTCCTATATGCATATAGTTAAAACTTAAAAATCTTCTTTTAAAGAACCCAAAGAGCTAGAGCTAAGATATTTAGCATGAAACATGTTCTAATGGATGTCTACCAAGTTTGTTCAAATAAGAGCACTTGGGTCAAAATTGGCCCCGCCCCAGGGGGTCATTGATTTTCCCTATATGAATATAGTAAAAACTTAAAAATCTTCTTTTAAAGAACCCAAAGAGCTAGAGCTAAGATATTTAGCATGAAACATGTTCTAATGGATGTCTACCAAGTTTGTTCAAATAAGAGCCCTGGGGTCAAAATTGGCCCCACCCCGGGGGACATTGATTTTCCTTATATGTGTATAGCAAAACTTAAAAATCTTCATGGAAATAACCCGAATAGCTAGAGTTTAGATATTAAGCATTAAAAAACATCTTCTAGTAAGTGTCTACAAAGATTGTTCAAATAAAAGCCCTGGGGTCAAAACTGGCCCTGCCCCAGGAGTGTCATTGTTTTTAAATAATAGTATATGTGTAAAGAAAAAACTTAAAATTTTTTTTTTTTAAAAACCCAACAAGCTAGACCTTAGATGTTTAGCATGAAACATCTTCTAATGGGTGTCTACCAAGTTTATTCAAATAAAAGCCCTGGCCCCGTGTTCACAAAGAAAAGATCAGGATCAGGATCAAGTGATCCTGATTTTATTTTCATTGTTTTATGTTACTAAAATTTATTGTGATTTGCTAGAATTAAATAATAATTATTACATGTTTCGCAGTAGATTACTGAATTATAACGGTTAATTATATTCTGATAATTTCACAGTAATGATTACCAAATATAATTTCACAGTAGCCGAACTATATTTGGCGTAAAAATAAAATATTTATCATTAATGAATGTTTTTTCAGCGGAAATGTAGTCAATCATAATAAAAAATGTACGTGATAACTGTAGTTCGTAAATATTTACGAACGTTGTGCTGAAAAACATCTAAAATCTAAAAATAATCATGGAATTATATTTTGCTTCAACGTTGTGACGTCATTATTTGATGACGTCATGAAGATAAGAGCATGACGTTACGCGGCAAAAATCAGTAAAATGGTGTAAAAATCGTTAAAAAATCATGAAATAAACAGAAAATTTGTTTGTTTTACATGTAAGATCAAATAATATTTCACTCGTGAACCCCAGCTTTTATATTTTCACTCGTGGCTACGCCACTCGTGGAAAATATTGCATCTGGTGTTCACTCGGTGAAATATTTTTCGATCTTACACTGAAACAAACAAATATCCTCTATTTATTCAAAATGTAAAAAATTGCCGATTTGAAAAGAAACCAAACTGTTTTGGGATAAAATTAGAAAATAACAACACAAATACAAAAATATTTGGATCAAAATAAGGATCAGTTTTAGGATCAGGATCAATATTTGGATCAACTGTAAAATGCCCGTATCTTGTAAAAATAACAATAAATTTATTCTAAAATTTCATTAATTTGCTATTGCAAGTCCAGTTTTATCAAATTAATATTAGATATTTAATATATGAGAATAAAAAATGAAGAATATTAGAGTTTTTCAATTTGATCCTGATCTTGATCCTGATCCTGAAATCTTTGTGAACACGGGGCCAGGGGTTTATACTTGTCCTGCTGCGGGGGGCCTATATACAGGTGAGCGACTTCAGGGCCATCATGGCCCTCTTGTTAATACTTCAGGCCCAAATTTCTGTCAAAATTTATCCTGATGAAGACCTCACGGTAGGTCGAAACCGGTAGATAATAAAATAACATAAACATCCCTGGTGTTGACGTGTAATTTTCTTCTTACTTATCCTTTCTTGATTCTTATTCTAAATTAAAGAAATACTGTATAAGTGGTTAATTTTGCAACATGGAAATATTTGCGATTTTGCGAATTGAAATTAGTCGCAAATATTTTTTTTTTTTTAAGGCAAACTTTTACGGCTTTATAAGGCTAACAGGATTAGATGAAATTCCAGCAAAATTTCTTAAAGATGCTGCACCATTTTTAAAGATACATATTACCTTTTTAGTGAATAATTCTATTACATCTAAATCAGTTCCAAATGAACTGAAATGTGCTAAAGTCAAACCATTATTCAAAAAGAATAACAGATCTGATGTTTCCAACTATAGACCTGTCAGTATTTTATCTATTGTTTCAAAAATCTTAGAAAGAACTGTATATAATCAGTTAGAAATTTTTTTAATTAAGCAGGGACTATTATATGAATTACAAAGTGGTTTTAGATGTAATTATTCTACTGACTCCTGCCTAATCCATCTCACTGACCATGTAAAAAGTCAAACTTCTAAAGGACTGCTCACCGGTATGATTATGTTAGATTTACAAAAGGCGTTTGACACTGTGGACCATGACATCTTGTGTAGAAAGTTACTTGTGTAGAAAGTTACAAAAAATGGGTGTGGAGTCAGTAGAATGGTTTCAATCTTATTTAACTGGTCGTAGTCAAATTGTAAATGTAAATAATACTATGTCCGAAGCTATGAATATTACATGTGGTGTTCCTCAGGGAAGTATATTGGGTCCTCTATTGTTTCTATGTTATGTCAATGATATGAGTATTAGTATTAGCAAAAAATGTAAGCTTATTCTTTATGCAGATGATAGTGCAATTTTATATTCACATAAAGATCCAGATGTTATTTGTAATGTTTTGGGTAAGGAACTAGAAAATTGTAGTAAATGGCTTGTTGATAATAAGCTATCATTACATCTTGGTAAAACAGAATGTATTGTTTTTAGTTCTAAGAGGAAATTGTCAAAACTAGAGCAGTTTAAAATACACTGTAATAATCACACCATACAATCTCAGCCATCAGTAAAGTATCTTGGTTCTATCTTGGATAATGATCTCTCAGCCACTTCTATTGTTGATAATATAGTACAAAAAGTAAACTCTCGATTAAAATTTTTGTACAGACAAGGCAACTGTTTGAATATGGAGCTAAGAAAACTATTATGTAACTCTTTAATACAGTGTCACTTCGATTATGCCAGCTCATCTTGGTATAGTAACCTTACTAAACAACTTAAACATAAACTTCAAGTAGCACAAAACAAAGTTGTCCGTTATGTTCATGGTTATTCCTCTAGAAAATCATTGAAAGTTATTGATTTTAGCAGTATTGGGTGGCTTAATATTGAAAATAGAGTCATACAGTTAAGACTCAATCATGTACACAAAATATTTAATAAAAAGTGTCCTTATATGTATGATATTTTTTCTTTAAAGTCTGATGTTCATTTTTATAATAGTAGAAACAGTGTAGGGAACTTTCATATACCCCATGTTAATAGTTTTACAAAAAGTACATTTTTTTACCAGGGTATTAGGGATTGGAACATGCTCCCACTTGATATTAAAAAGGAAAGTAATTTTTTTAACTTTAAAAAGAAAGTAAAAGCTGAACTAAGCAAAAATATGAAACAATTTGAACAAGCTGATTTTATTTTTTATTAGTTTTAGAGATAATTGTTTTAATCAATATAGTATGTTTTATATGTATCTTGTGATTGGTTTTGTGATATATATAAATAGATATCTTTCATTGGTGTGTTAACTAGTCATATTCATAGTATTATTCCTGCAAATATGTGATATATGTAATTAACATAATGTGCAATAGAAATTAATATTATTTGATCTTAGAAATTTAACATCAGTCCAGTATATCATCTCTAAGTATGGACCTGAATGCCAGTTCTCAAGAAAATATATTCTTTACCATCAAAGGACCCCATTGGAAATAAGTTCTCTATTTTATATTGAACTTTCATGGGTTATCCTGTGTTGTATATATTGTCTTGAAGTCAACAAGATCTTTGATTTAATTATGAATGTAAAGTTATTATTTTTCAATTAATTACTGTGTTAAAAACAATGTGATAGATATAACTGTGATAAATTGTCTTAATTTGTTTTGTAATATGACATATATATATACACAAATAAATCAATCAATCAATCAAAAAAACTTTCTTCTATCATTTGAAAACACTTTTTATACAACATCTTACATGAATAAGTTTGACTGTTCAGGAACTGGGATTATTTTTTCACATTGCCTGTTTGTTTAAGTTTGGTCTTAACAAATCACAAATGTTTTAATGAAATAATATATGTGTTAATAACCAGAAAGGTTACACAAGAATGTTTCAAAATATGACAAAGAAATGTGTGATCAGGTCCTTTATCAAACTATCAATGTATATTTCAAACAATTATAGAAATAATATAGGTGTTAAATTACTGAAGAGAACGATAACAATAACAACATGTCTTTAACATGTACCTGTTTAATTTAAGATAGCACAAAAACAGTATTAAATTCAATAAATCTTATTTTCGTAAATATTTCCACACGCAAAAAGTCCACTTTGTGACACAAAAATATCCACTTATACAGTAGATATCAATTTTGAGTGCATTGTTGTAGAATAATGCATGGTTCGATTTAAAATGCACAGGAATATAATCAACAAGGCTGATAAGCCTTAGTGATTAATGATTAGTCATGCAATATTATTATTTATACGATAATGCAAGAAAAATAAATATCATATTTCCATTCTAACATGCTAATAAAATAGAGAATTGATAAAAAAATGTTGAACTACATCGGACATATAAGTAATTTTTCTGACATCATTTGGTTTATTGACATATGATGTGTAAGCATTCATTTTTTATGCTGTATCAAAAGAGCTTTATTTTATTGATGTGTTTAAACCAAAACTAAACAAAAATTGATGACGTCAACATTTTTTACGTTGTGTACACGTGTGTACAAAAATAACGTCAAATGACGTTGTAACTATGGTTTTATGTTTATTTGCCCTGATTATTATAGAAACCGGTAGGCAATAAATTAAATTGAGAAAATCCAGTTAATGTCAGTTATTTTTTAGTATATATATAGATACTTTAATAGCTTCCACAAATTAAAGGAACAAAAGTCACTGTTGGGATTTGGACCTACACCAGTAAGGGGTAATAAACCAAATCCATAGCTTCAACGAGAGCATGGCATGCAGTGTTAAGGCTCGTCTGTAAAAAATTCTTAGTAAAAAAGAAGCATAACTCAAAAATTATTTCTGTCAGAATTATGCCCCTTGTTTAACAACTTCACATTGTAATGATAAGAAAGTATTCCAAATTTCATGTGGCTACCTTTTGAAATATTGAAAGTTTTTGCACGACGTCTTAACGCCACTGCAGCGATCATAATAGCCTGACTTTTTCTCTGTTACAGACAAGCTAACAATCTTTTTTCAGCAAAGGAATTTTAAAATTTTTTTTTAAAAAATCGAGCTTTGGCCCTGCTCGGCTCTTGTCAGAACTACCTACATTATGATCAACTTTCCGGAAGTTAAGATGGAAATTTTAAGTTGGTCAGTCAGCAGTATAGCAAGGTCAGACTGCATGTAGGGGCAGACGACAGGGCTCCGTGCAGTCATGCCAGGCTCTATACTGATAAAAAAGGCTTAATTCACTTCGAGTACTAAAATGGTAAGGTTTAATTCATTTCATATATTTGATGATTGTAGATTGTGGGAAGATGGCTGGAAGGACAGATATTACAAGAACAAATTTGACGTGGGATCTGAAGATATAGCTTTCAGACATAATGTGGTTTGTATATTGTATATGTGTATTTATTCGTGAATTAATCTATGCTTTTAATGATGCCTCTTTATTTTTCAATGGTATTTATGTATAAAGAGTGTGCTTTAAAGAATGTATTATACTAAAAAAAATATGTGACTCAACCAAAACAAAAACAAAACATTTCATAACCCATCATGTCAGATTGGCAGTCTATACAAAATTAATCCAACATTACAAGTCAGATTACTTTTCATGTTGGTATAATGAAAAGTAAATCTTATCTCTTCAGTTTTGGATGTCTGGTCACGTGACTCGATATTTTTACGGCATTGGAAAGAAATTTTGTTTCTTATTTCTTTGAAAAATTCATTATTATAAAATTGAATGCAGTAAAATTATGTTTTGAATCTTTGCAGTAAATAGTTACATCAATCTGATTAAAAGCAGCTTTTAAATAATGCTGTGCATTATGATCTGACATATAGCCATAAGTATCTTGCCCATTAGAAATTGACGTTATTATTTCAAGTTAATTTGTTATAAATTACTTCAAACCTTTTTTTCCTAACAAAAATGAACAATTTGTTTAACTTCCATTAGAAGGTATTTAATGCCTATTTGTAAAAACCGGTTTGGTTGAATGGCTAAAAACAGCTTTCTCTGGAAATCCCAATTATTAAGAAGGCGAAACATATACGGTGGTCATCAGATCTACATGGAAGATATAAGTAGATCTTAATTTTAGTCAGATTTATAGTTATATGTACTTATAAAAAAAATATTTAAATTACAAAATAAGGTGGTTGTTACAATGAATCTTAGCTGCAAAGTAATGTAAATTTTCAAATTTTCTGACCATTTGTATGTGTTTTGTTTACAGGCTAATCACTATGTGAGAGGGTTATGTTGGGTTTTACGTTACTACTATCAAGGCTGTGCCTCGTGGAAGTGGTATTTCCCCTATCATTACGCACCTTTTGCTTCCGATTTTGTTAATGTTGCTGCCTTGTCAAATGATTTTGAGAAGGATACCGAGCCAGTAAGTAGTCGAGTCGTAGATTGTGTAACATACATGAGCCGCGTCACGACAAAACCAACATAATGGGTTTGCGACCAGCATGGATCCAGACCAGCCTGCGCAGTCTGATCAGGATCCACGCTGTTCGCTATCAGTTTCTCTACTTGTTATAGACTTTGTAAGCGAACAGCAATGATCCTGATCAGGCTGTGCGGATGCGCAGGCTGGTCTGGATCCATGCTGGTCACAAGCGCACTATGTTGGTTTTGTCATGACGCGGCTCAGTCATGTTTTATGTATATTCGTGATTTAGGGTCAACAGACCTCAGTTTCACCGCATAGTAATGTTACTACTAAATATTCACAATTTGATCACAAATAGATTTTTTGCCCACCTTTCAAACAAAAAAGTGAAGCTAAAGTTGTGACTCTCTTGTCTGCGGTGGCAAATCACATGAAGATCAGGTTAATTTTCTCAGAAACTATCGAGGTTATTCAGGTCTAGGTCACATAATTTGCCATATTGTAGTTTGTATGTCCACAACTACTGAAGGGAATGGGTTGACACTTCACATTCTTATTTGAGAGCATAATAGGTCACTGTTCTAGGCCCAAAAACTCTTACATGAATTCTGACAGAATTTTGGCTCTTTTTTGAACTGTGCATTATCAAGATGGCCACCTCGGATCACCATCAAGGGCAGGTGAGTATGCCAAGTACCTTTTGTATAATAATGTCCCCTGTTCTTTTTTGCTTTAATAATACTATCCAGCACTGAGAAATGTTGATCATACTTTATATGGGCAGGTATTATGTTTGTCTGCGTTTCTGTGGACAAATAAACTTTGGACATAATTTCATTCTTTAAGCTGAAGCTTTTATATGTATATATATTAAGTAAGAAGCACCAATCATTTGTTTTTAGCTCACCTGTCACAAAGTGACAGGGTGAGCTTTTGTGATCGCTTTTCGTCCGGCGTCCGTCCGGCGTCCGTCCGTCCGTAAACTTTTACTTTAAATGACATCTCCTCATAAACCACTAAGCCAATTTCATCCAAACTTCACAGGAATGTTCCTTTGGTGGTCACCTTTAAAAATTGTTCAAAGAATTTAATTCCATGCAAAACTCTGGTTGCCATGGCAACCGAAAGAAAAAACTTTAAATATCTTCTTTTAAAAAACCATAAGAGCTAGAGCTTAGATATTTGGCATGAAACATCTTCTAGTGAGTGTCTACCAAGTTTGTTCAAATAAAAGCCCTGGGGTCAAAATTGGCCCCGCCCCGGGGTGTCATTGATTTTCCCTATATGCATATAGTAAAAACTTAAAAAATCTTCTTTTAAAGAACCCAAAGAGCTAGAGCTAAGATATTTAGCATGAAACATGTTCTAATGGGTGTCTACCAAGTTTGTTCAAATAAAAGCCCTGGGGTGAAAATTGGCCCCGCCCCGGGGGGTCATTGATTTTCCCTATATGCATATAGTAAAAACTTAAAAAATCTTCTTTTAAAGAACTCAAAGAGCTAGAGCTTAGATATTTGGCATGAAACATCTTCTAGTGAGTGTCTACCAAGTTTGTTCAAATAAAAGCCCTGGGGTCAAAATTGGCCCCGCCCCGGGGGGTCATTGATTTTCCCTATATGCATATAGTAAAAACTTAAAAAATCTTCTTTTAAAGAACCCAAAGAGCTAGAGCTAAGATATTTAGCATGAAACATGTTCTTATGGGTGTCTACCAAGTTTGTTCAAATAAAAGCCCTGGGGTGATAATTGGCCCCGCCCCGGGGGTCATTGATTTTCCCTATATGCACATAGTAAAAACTTAAAAATCTTCTTTTAAAGAACGCAAAGAGCTAGAGCTTAGATATTTGGCATGAAACATCTTCTAGTGTGTGTCTACCAAGTTTGGTCAAATAAAAGCCCTGGGGTCAAAATTGGCCCCGCCCCGGGGGGTCATTGATTTTCCCTATATGCATATAGTAAAAACTTAAAAAATCTTCTTTTAAAGAACCCAAAGAGCTAGAGCTAAGATATTTAGCATGAAACATGTTCTTATGGGTGTCTACCAAGTTTGTTCAAATAAAAGCCCTGGGGTGAAAATTGGCCCCTACCCGGGGGTCATTGATTTTCCCTATATGCATATAGTAAAAACTTAAAAATCTTCTTTTAAAGAACTCAAAGAGCTAGAGCTTAGATATTTGGCATGAAACATTTTCTAGTGTGTGTCTACCAAGTTTGTTCAAATAAAAGCCCTGGGGTCAAAATTGGCCCCGCCCCGGGGGGTCATTGATTTTCCCTATATGCATATAGTAAAAACTTAAAAAATCTTCTTTTAAAGAACCCAAAGAGCTAGAGCTAAGATATTTAGCATGAAACATGTTCTAATGGGTGTCTACCAAGTTTGTTCAAATAAAAGCCCTGGGGTGAAAATTGGCCCCTCCCCGGGGGGTCATTGATTTTCCCTATATGCATATAGTAAAAACTTAAAAAATCTTCTTTTAAAGAACTCAAAGAGCTATGGCTAAGATATTGAGCATGAAACATGTTCTAATGGGTGTCTACCAAGTTTGTTCAAATACAAGCCCAGGGGTCAAAATTGGCCCCGCCCTGGGGGTCATTGATTTTCTTTATATGTGTTTAGCAAAAACTTTAAATCTTCTTTGAAAAAACCCAAATAGCTAGAGTTTAGATATTAAGCATGAAACATCTTCTAGTAAGTGTCTACAAAGTTTGTTCAAATAAAAGCCCTGGGGTCAAAACTGGCCCGGCCCCAGGGGTGTCATTGTTTTTAACTATATGTGTATAGTAAAAACTTTAAAAAAAATCTTCTTTTAAAAAGCCCAATGAGCTAGAGCTTAAATGTTTAGCATGAAGCATCTTCTTATGGGTGTCTACCAAGTTTGTGCAAATAAAAGCCCTTGGGTTAAATTGGCTCTGCAACGTTGGGGGGGTTGGGGGGGCCTATATACAGGTGAGCGACCTCAGGGCCATCATGGCCCTCTTGTTGTATCTTACCAATGCATTGAAGAATTTATACAAAACTTAATTCAAATGTTTGCCTCAATTACACTGTGTAATACATGTATATCATTGAACCAGATTGGTGGCTTTAAGGAATATTTTCAAAACTTCAGTGCACTTTGTTTGTCTTGGCAGTGTCTTGCTCTTGCGTTATAATTTCTTTTTGATATATCTTATCACAAATGTTTGCTTAAATAGGACAATGTATATGTATCAATATAGTGGCTTATATGTCAAGGCCATACTTAAAGGACAATGGTAAAGTAGTTAAGAATAGGTAAAATACAGTTTATTTCAAAGAATTTCTTAACATGGCTGTCACATTGTATTGCCTTTGGACATTAAGTTACACACATCCAGAGATCAAAAAAATGTTTCTGAGCCACTTGTCCTGCATTTTGGTTGATTTTCAAAGTAAATTTCCCCGATGCAATAGAACCTTGCCGATTCAATTGACATCTAGAAATTTTCATAATCAGTTTTGTTTACACAAATTTAACGCACAAAAACAAAGCTTGTTTTTTAGGTTATGTATAAATGGCACATTTTATAGAGCATTGTTGGATGGAAGATGGACAGGTTCCAGCATTAAGGGCGCAATTTATTCATAACCTGAAACACAAGCTTTGTTGCCAGTTTTCCATCATTAAAAGTAAACCAACTGATTATGAGAATTCTGGCTTCTTACATTGGCAAATTCCCGCTTGTCCTGCCAGACGAACATTCTACCATTTTGTACTTGTCCTGCATCTATATCTAATAGTAAGTACGAGAGGTTGAGTTGAATTTCCCATCCCTTACATCTTCTTTTCTTTCAATTTAACACCAATTTACTGATTAGAAAAAACAACAACACTGTCATACATCATTGTTGTTAAACTTTATTATATGTTATTTTAAGTAGATTACTAAAACTTAAAGGATAAAATGAGAATTATATCTAATCATAGTAATACAGTAAAAACTCTGAAAACCTGACCCTCTGAAAACCGGAATCCTCTGAAAACCAGACAGTTTTAAAAGTCAAGTTCATTGAAAAAAATCTTTTAAATACCAGAAGATTTGAATTCCAAAAACCGGATGATTTTCTATGGCTACTTATTCTAAACGGTGAACGGACATAATCCCCTTCGGACAAAATCCCCTTCATGTATTGACATTTATTTGCTAAACATGCATAAAAAGTCCACTGAAATCTGGACAGCAATTTATGAGTCATTTTCTGTGGATTTTAATGTGAACTAAGATATACTCCTGACAGGTGACATGTTCAATAACCAGTTGTCAGCAGCTTTTAATCTATGCAGGTGTGAAAACACTTGTCAGTGTGTGTTAATTTCTTATTAAAGATATACTATGCTCATCCTTTTGTAAAGTATTTTTATCATAGAAATTTATTGAAATCTATGAAATTTTACTGAATATGTCTAATTTGGATAAAAGAATGAATAAACTATGAAATTGAAGCTGCGTTCCTTTTGCAGGTCAAGTAAAGTTGGTCTTTTCTTAAAAAAACTGCCAGTTTTTAGCTCACCTGTCACAAAGTGACAGGGTGAGCTTTTGTGATCGCTTTTCGTCCGGCGTCTGTCCGTCCGTAAACTTTTACTTTAAATGACATCTCCTCATAAACCACTAAGCCAATTTCATCCAAACTTCACAGGAATGTTCCTTTGGTGGTCACCTTTAAAAATTGTTCAAAGAATTTAATTCCATGCAGAACTCTGGTTGCCATGGCAACCGAAAGAAAAAACTTTAAATATCTTCTTTTAAAAAACCCAAAGAGTTAGAGCTTAGATATTTGGCATGAAACATCTTCTAGTGAGTGATTACCAAGTTTGTTCAAATAAAAGCCCTGGGGTCAAAATTGGCCCCGCCCCGGGGTGTCATTGATTTTCCCTATATGCATATAGTAAAAACTTAAAAAATCATCTTTTAAAGAACCCAAAGAGCTAGAGCTAAGATATTTAGCATGAAACATGTTCTAATGGGTGTCTACCAAG